ATATACCAATGGAGTGGAGGGAAGGATACTTGGTCAAACTTCCAAAGAAAGGAGATCTCCAAGAGTGTGGAAACTATAGACGAATGATGCCGCTTTCTGTACCAGGAAAAATACTAAATAGAATTATTCTGCAGAGAATAAAAAAAGCGACAGACTCCAAACTAAGATATGAACAGGCTGGTTTTAGAGAAAACAGATCATGAACTGACCAAATTGCAACGCTGCACATAATCATGGAGCAGTGCTTGGAGTGGAATGCATCATTGTAACTAAATTTTGTCAACTTCGAAAAAGCATTTGACAGCTTAGACAGAGATACACTCTGGAAACTACTAAGGCATTATGGTTTTCCCCAAAAGCTAACTAACTTAATTAAGAACACATACAAGGATATGAGTTGTAGGGTTATACATGAAGGTGACCTCACAAACAAACCCATTTATGATAGAATCTGGAGTTAGACAGGGATGCATGCTCTCACTATTCCTCTTTCTGTTATCCATTGACTAGATCATGAGAGAAACAACACAGGATGGGAAAAATGGAATCCAGTGGAAACCTTTCAGACAGTGGGAGGGCTTGGATTTTACAGATGACATTACACTTTTATCACATAGCCACAAACTAATGCAGGAGAAAAGAACAAAACTTGACTCTGCATCCCAGCAAGTTGGACTTGGCATAAGTAAAGGGAAAACCAAGACCTTAAGAATAAATGCAGGGTATGATGGAGTCATTGGATTAAACCGAGAGGAGCCTCTCTTGAAGAAGTTGAGGCTTTTTACCTACCTGGGAAGCATCATAAATTAAAATGGTGGCACAGATGAGGAAATAAAGTCTAGGGCCCAAAAGGCCAGAGGAGCATTCAATGCCCTGCGAAACACCTAGAGCTCAAGTGAAATACTGACAAAAACAAAGTTACAAATATTCAACCCAAATGTCAAGGCACTTCTTCTGTATGGCTGTGAAAGTTGGGGAACAACAAAAGCAACATTAAATAACTGCAGGTTTTTATAAACAGCTGTTTGCGAAGGATCCTCAAAATAAGATGGTTTGACACAATTTTTAACACTTTCTATTGGGAAAGAGCATCAAGTGTTCCAGTGGAAACTGAGATAAAAATGAGAAAATGGAGATGGATAGGAAAAACATGAAGGAAACCAAACACTAACATCACAAGACAGGGCCCTGAACTGGATCCTCAGGGTACGAGGAAAAGAGGAAGACCAAGAGCCACATGGAAGAGGGGAGCAGAGACGGAGGTGAAGAGAATGAAGAAAAGCTGGGCTAACCAGAAATGATAGCCCAGGACAGGGACGGATGGAAAAGTATTGTGGATGGCCTGTGCTCCATTGGGCTGAACAAGCAATGATAGCCGGGACAGGAACAGATGGAAAAGTATTGTGGATGGCCTGTGCTCCATTGGGCTGAACTAGCAATGATAACCCAGGACAGGAACAGATGGAAAAGTATTGTGGATGGCCTGTGCTCCATTGGGCTGAACTAGCAATGATAGCCCAGGACAGGGACAGATGGAAAGGTATTATGGATGGCCTGTGCTCCATTGGGAATGAGAACGGCTAAGAAGATGAATTAATTATAGTAGCTGAAATACGGCTGTAATGTATTTTTATAATTTCCGGCATCAAAGTTATTGAAAAAAAATTATCCCTTCAACTATGTAAACTTTACGGTCCAAGTCAAATGGTCGCTACTAGCATGATTTAATGATTGTGATTCATCCATAATGAAAGTAGTTGAAAAATGTTAATGTTCCCGTGGGATTTTCACTGAGAAATGCAGTAAAGCGAAGGACTAACTGCATATAAACTTGTCTGTGATAAGAGCTTACAAATAAACAGAGAAGAGAAGAAAAGGGCTGATCTTTCAGAAAAGATCTGAGAACTGTCAGAAAAGATCTGAGAGCTGTTAGAAAAGTGCTGAGAGCTGTCAGAAAAGTGCTGAGAGCTGTCAGAAAAGCGCTGAGAGCTGTCAGAAAAGCGCAGAGAGCTGTCAGAAAAGTGCAGAGAGCTGTCAGAAAAGATCTGAGAGCTGTCAGAAAAGTGCTGAGAGCTGTCAGAAAAGTGCTGAGAGCTGTCAGAAAAGATCTGAGAGTTGTCAGAAAAGTGCAGAAAGCTGATAGAAAAGTGCCGAGAGCTGTCAGAAAAGTCCTGAGAGCTGTCAGAAAAGGGCAGAGAGCTGTCAGAAAAGTGCTGAGAGCTGTCAGAAAAGGGCAGAGAGCTGTCAGAAAAGTGCTGAGAGCTGTCAGAAAAGGGCAGAGAGCTGTCAGAAAAGTGATGAGAGCTGTCAGAAAAGTGATGAGAGCTGTCAGAAAAGTGCTGAGAGCTGTCAGAAAAGTCCTGAGAGCTGTCAGAAAAGGGCAGAGAGCTGTCAGAAAAGTGCTGAGAGCTGTCAGAAAAGTCCTGAGGGCTGTCAGAAAAGGGCAGAGAGCTGTCAGGAAAAGTGCTGAGAGCTGTCAGAAAAGTGCTGAGAACTGTCAGAAAAGTGCAGAGAGCTGTCAGAAAAGGGCAGACCGCTGTCAGAAAAGTGCTGAGAGCTGACAGAAAAGGGCAGAGATCCGTCATAAAAGTGCTGAGAGCTGTCAGAAAAGATCTGAGAGTTGTCAAAAAAGTGCAGAGAGCTGTCAGAAAAGTGCTGAGAGCAGAAAAGTGCTGAGAGCTGTCAGAAAAGGGCTGAGAGCTGTCAGAAAAGGCTTCTTGACACCACAGAAGCTAGAGAAACTTCTGGAGGACATTAGCCACCATCAAATACAGGATATTTTGGGAATAAACTGTTTGCTCTAGTTTGGTCCAAACTTCACTTTTGTACATCTGATCTCATTTCAGAACAAGATATTTCTCACAATGGTTGTTACATTGGAATGAAACTTGTGAATATTCCTAACCCTATAATGACGGCCCTCAATTAAATGAATGCAGTATACTTAAGATAAAATATTTCTGCAGCTTTCTAAGAATATTAATAAAATTTATTGCATTTTCAAAATACTCGGTGCACAAATGAAACTTATGTTATAAAATCAAACGATTTTACTTCAGGCCATCCACTTTCCCATTATGTACACTAGTGCCAAAAAATAAAGGCTAAAGTTTAATTGGTTGTCGATTTACAAGTGTTGAAAAAAGCTATTTTTATTCCCAGGGCTATATTGGGAACCTAATTTGCATAAAATTTCTGCTATCAATCATCCCCTGTACTAATTATGAATTATCAATAGGGTTAAAATTAGTTTTAATTAAAATTAGTTTAAGGATCTTCAATTTTAGGGTCCTAGGGGATGCTTCTACCTTAAAATAGAAAAACTATGTACACAGATTACTAAAACTATGTACACAGATCACTAAAACTATGTACACAGATTACTAAAACTATGTACACAGATCACTAAAACTATGTACACAGATCACTAAAAATTATGTTCTTTATGTCACTCAGGTTCTAAATTAAAAAGGCTATAATCAAACCAAGAAAACAATTATAGAATTCTAGGCCTTAACCGGGTGCATTTGTTTACACCGGTTCAAGGCATTTTGCAAAAATAACCAGTGGGCTGGGTCCAAGTGTTACAATAAAAGTGTAAACTTACCATTTTCTAAAATATATTGCGGCCTTTAAATAATAGTCCAGTCCTACACCCTACCTGCCAGCCTTTAAACCAGTGGTTCTCAACCTTTCCAAGACCATGACCCTTTAATACAGTTCCTCATGTTGTGGCGACCCCCAGCCACACAATTATTTTCAGTTGGTACTTTATAACTGTTTAGTATATATGTTTTCAAATGGTCTTGGGCGAGCCCTGTGAAAGGGTCGTGCGACCCCCAAGGCCTCACGACCCACAGGTTGAGAACCGCTGCTTTAAACAATATTCCTACAGAAAGTCCTACACCATACCCGTGACGCTTTATTAATTAATATTATAGTGGCCGCCCCCTAAAGAAAAAAAATTCAACCTTTGTACTTGAGTTCACCCGTCACGCTTGATGCTCGCTGCTTGACAGCATTATTTTATTTCACTCATTACTATTAATATAAAACATCTTAAGTGGGGGAGGGTTGGTTGTGAAAAGGAAGCAGGACACACCAGAAGCAAAATATATATATGTTAATGTTGGTGTGAAAATTTGTTTACATCCTACAGCAGCTATAGTGAATAAGTATCCTTTTCCAACATGTCTTTCCTGTGTGTCTGCTCCACTTTCTCTCTATGATGTGGTATTCCATTAGTGTTGGTCCTATGCTACAAGTTTTCATTTGTTACCAAGTCCTATTTGAGTTTATGTTCTCCTTCAAATCTGACTTATGAAATGTTTGTACCAGGTAATTTCTATGAAATATTATATTTATCATATCATGAGACAAAGGTTATTATATATGCATCAGTTTTGCCAAATAAAGTAAAACATTTAATAAACTGCATTATTTCATAGAAATTACAAGACAACTAACAAATACTGGAAAATAGGAAATTATTTCTGCCCTGAAACAATAACTCACAATCCCACAAAGGTTCTATTGCATGACATGCTCAAATGTTATCTATGTCCATATCCATGATGGCCAAATAGCAATGCCAACAGACAAATGGGATTCTACCAATATTTTAAAAATACCTATGTAAAATGTTGACCATCTCCATAGCAATCTTGCCATTTTGGAAAATATAAGTTGTAAATGATGAGGTGAAACTGTTCGCAAAATATTGTATTCTAATTTAAGTGCATTAGATTAAATGCCATTGCTTCCTAGAGTAATTGGTAAATGAAAGAGATGTTTTATACTGTGCACACCTCATTGAAATAACTGCCAATCAAAAATAAAACAAAAAACAAATTGCTGGATTAAAATTTATTTTCAATACAAGATAATGAAATAATTAAATTTGAAGCACATTTAATAACATTCTGTGCATGACAAAACAAAAATAAAATATTTTTAGCATAATTATAAATCCCTAAGAACCTTTTTTTTCTTTTTTTTTTAACATCTATTTGATGTTAACATCATTGAATAATTATTGTTACAAGTCATTAGAAACTCATACGATTTAATGAAACTTTGGTAAATTTTATTTAAACTTTAAACATGAAAGTTTGGAATAAACTGAATTAAATCATAGGATTAAAGGAAACAATCCAAGAAACTCAAACAACTCTTATAAACTCAAACAACTCTCATATATATATATATATATATATATTAATCTTGATTGAAAGGGGTTGAATCTGAATAAATAATCTGAGTTCATCTTTAAAAACAAAAATCTTATTGAACATTTGATTCCATTGTAGAATTATTTGAGAAAGACAATTAACTTGAAAGTCCCATTTTGATAAAGACATCAAGAAGAGCGATGTCATTGTCAAGACAAAAAAAAAGTAAATAACTATTTTAAGTATTAACAATAAACCTACAAAACAGTTGCATATTTCCTCTAAAGAAATAGAAAAATGAGATTGTTTTAACACCAAGAAATTAAAGTTTTTGGCTTTTCAAAATTTATTGTAAATATTTTTCCTAACTGAGATTAAAGTTACAGGCAAAAACTTTGGTATTGAGATTCTGGAAGAATTTGATTTTGATAACTAGAAATTTGAATGGGAGTAAAATTAAAATGCAAATGTTTTAACGGCAAATGAAACAATGTTCAAAAGTTAGGTTATCAACAATGTATGATATTTACATAGAAATTATTCTTTAACACTACATTATGGCAAATGCTACTTCAACAAATTCTAAGTAGAATAATTACACAATATAAAGATCAGATAAGGAACAGAAACTGAAAAACCAAACTATTGAATTAATAAACAGTTTTTGAGCCCACATAATATTATTATCCAGCTGGAGCTAAATTCTATACAAAAATATTTGATTACATGATTATTATTTATTTTTATTTTTAAAAAAAAAAAGGGGGGGGGGTGTGATTTGTGCAAGTCAAGACAATAAATGTCGTGCAATCTAAAATTAAAACACTTCAACAATTTTAGTTGTTTTTTTTTCTTAAATGGCTAAACTTAAAATTAATTTTCGTCTTTATGATAGGTAAGATTGACCCCATTAACTAGAATGGATTTAACAACTGCTATTTGAAATGTTATTCTGTACCTCTTACTCATGATGATTTCCCAATGGATCATCACTTGTTTTACGTTTTTAGTTGTCAACAATTTCAAAGGCACATTTTTATGAGCATCTAATAATGATGTCATCAGATTTTACATAACTAAATTGTCTGAGATTTTTTTTTTAAAGATTATGATTATGACTAAGGATTGGGGAAAGAGATTAATATGCAAAAAAACCTTTGATCACAAATATAATTAAAATGTTTGAGAATTATAACAAATAAAAGAACATCCAAAACAAACATTCCATTTCAATGAAAAAAAATAAGGAAGGGAAATAGCAAACAGTTATACTAAAAAGCAGAAATCAATGTTTAAAAAAAATATGAAAATCTGGCCAGATCATCAAATGTTTTCCTTCTTTTGATGTAAAGACTACATTTCTTGATGTAAGAGATGATTTCTTTTAGACCCAAGACCAAGTGCATGTAATTAAATGTGCCACCACAAGCCATGTGGAATAATAAGGTGTGTTTGGAGAATTAATGCCAATATTGGTTGAAATGTCCCAATGTTGCTTAAATGCTGACTGTTTTAGTTAACTACTGTCTTTAAGCCCATAGCATTAGTTTCTTTTATTAAAAATATTGACCCCCTACATACCAGAACCTGTTTTAGACTTGTACATTTAAAGCATTAAAAAAAGAGGGGGCAAGAAGTTTCTTCCAAGCAAATGATACACAAAACTGCACCCATCTGAACTACAACACAACACACAACTTAAAGGTTTTAGTAGATCATATAGCAAGCTGGTGGAACAGCAAAGAAATATAATATTTGCCTGAATTTCTCAAAAGATGGCAATTTTAATGATGCTACATCAATCAACTCCTTGGGAATAACTAACATCTCATGGAAACTTCAAGGACTGCGGTTAGAATTTGTTACTTAACATTTTTTTTTTAAATTTTAATTTTTAAGATAAAGCAGGTAACAAATTTCTTGTAAAAATTCTCACCAATCCAAAATTTACCCAATTCAAAAGAACACTATAGCCAAAAAATTAAAGAGATACAAAGCAGTTTAAACAAAGCCTGGCAGTGTTAGGGAAGGCAGCAAAGGGTTAAATCAAGCAAGACAGCATCCTTCAAAACTAATGTGACTGATAAATGCAAGATACCACCGCAGTATCATAGAACTCGACTATGTAGCAGAGATAAAATGGCAGGGTAGAGCCCAATCCAAAACAAAGGATATTATACTCAATTTTCTATTCACAAATCCTAAAAAATTTACTTCACTATCAGCGAGTCAAGATGAAATTAGGGACAAGGAAGAGCTCATCAGAACATCTAGCACAATAAGGCAGTGTTGGTCCATGCATGCATATTTTATTTCATTTCCTGTCCATTTTAAGTTTGTGTTTTTTATATTTATTGGCTGTAGAACAAAAAGGGAAATAAACGTCAATAAAGATAGAAAAGAAAGAAAAAAACATGCAGATTAAAATAAACAGTAAATAAATTTGTTAAATCTGGAAATACTTGAATTTGAATGATGAAAAATTTAGTAAAATACAAACGCAAGCTATTAACTATTCATTTAGATTTTGTTTAAATTGCAAACTTAAGTCATGATTAGATTTTCCCTAATCAAAAGAATATTGTAATAGAAATTTTCTGTCATATTTAATATACCGTATTTATCTGTGTATAACACACAATTTTTCTCCCTGAAAATAGGGGGCAAATGATGTGTGCGTGTTATACGTCAATATAATGTTACGTTTTTCCCCCTGAAATTTCCTTCTTAAAATGAGGTGCGTGTTATACGCCAATAAATACGGTAGTCAATTATTTAACGATGAGCACAAGCTCAACATGAAATAAATGTATTATCTCCCACTGGCCCATATGAATGGTTAGTTACTAGATACTACACCTCTTATGTGTCCAGACGGATAGAAAGTTACTTATAAGTAACAAGCTATTTCTAACAAAACATCTTCACAGTCAAGCATAATATGGACATTAAAAAACACATATCAACTTTTAGACCATAGGTTGGTAGGGGAAAGGAAGGGTTTGATGATTCATTATTTTTATTCATTATTTAGTGGGGAAAAAAAATTAAAAAGTTAAAGAATTGCTATTTCTTACTACAAAATTATTATTTGATCAGATATTTATCAATGACATTGTTCCCACATCTTACTCTCTGAAATCACTCATGCTCTTATGAGACAAAGTGAGTACCGATTCATGAGATTCTTTCATCTTACAGTTTTTTGTTTAGATTGTGAACAGGTTAGAGATTAATATATCATAAACAGCTGATGTAGTTCTGAAGAAATTTTGATTCAACATCAAATCTTCTTGTCAACGTAATTTTTGGAATGTTTTTTTTTTAAATTTTAATAAATAGGTTTAGGAGGAAATAAAACGACTTATGTCATCAGCGATGCTGCAGATTTAGCTTTAGGATATATATATTATAATTATATATATAATATAAGAAGCTATATTTTAATGTTTCAAACCCCACTAAAAAATCTACTTCTTTAACTAAATATGGCTTCGTTTTATATAAAATAAATTACAACCTTTCAATGCAATGAAGATTTAAATCAACATTATTTGAAGATGATGTTACAAGACTTACAACATTGTATAAACATTCACTATAGCCCAGTAGAAGCAAGTACAATACTATGGGGATAAATCAGAGTAAAATAGAGAGAAAATTTTGATCTTCCGCTAGTTAAGTGCAGCTCAAAATTTGAGCACAAAAAAAAAATCTTGGAAATATGTTTTAAATGAAACATAATAATTATTGCCTTTAAACAGGAGAATTTAGAAATGGCAATTCAATAACAAAATGAAAAAAAAATTGAAAACAATTTAATTTGTTTGTATTGAATCAATTATGGATGAATTCATTTTTAAGTTGTGTAACTGATAAAATGTATTGAGTCTGTCTAACTACCAAAAAAAAAAAAATATTTAAATGCAGCATTAGCACTTTGAAACTGTTTCATGGTTTTTGATTTCACAGTACGTTGTGTAAGATGTCAAAACAGAATCATGATTTCTATATTTTTTGTCAAACCTCCTTTTTAGCTAAATGAGGTATCCTTACTCTATCAAGTAAAGAATCTGTTAACCTAAATTAGGTAGATCAATATCTAAACATTTGTAGTGAGGTGAAATTGTGCAGTGATGGATACTGAAATAAAAAGGCTCATTAGCAATTTTTTTCCAAATTTGCATTTCTCATCCAAATTGAGAGAGAAAAACAGAAAACATAATGAAATCTCTATGTATATAAATGCTGATTATATTGAACTTTCATCTCAGAGGGAGTGGATGTTAAATGATTTAGACATAATTGAAAGTCATGTTGCAGTTGATACAACTTTCAAATCAACTCTAAATTTACCTGATAAATGTACCTTAGTGTTCAAAAGTTCACTTAGCAAACTTATTTCATTAAAATATTTAGCAAAAACAAAATGGAGTCCAGAATATTATAAATGTCTTTCTTTGAAGGTAAAAAAACTTGTTGCCCTCCAATCTTGGCAATATCATCTCCCTTAAAATCCCAGAAATCATTCTTTAATTATGTCACAACTGGCCTGTCATCTCCCATCCTGCTATAGTTGCCTCCCCTTCCACGGATGTGGCGGTACAGCTTAGGCACAACAAAGTACAACACAAGGCCTATTAATATTCCAATGAAGAGACAGGCTGGTATCCATCCGGATTTCACTGGGGAAAAAAAAAAAGCTCCAAGGTAAGGAAGTGATTAGTATTGTACATCATATAATGTTTGTTTAGGAATGTTTCCAAGCATATCCTAAAATTGATCTGGAGTAATGCCAATATTTCAGTTCTTTGTCTTTAATTGAATTAATGACATTCCAATTATTTTTTCATTCTATCTTTTGCTTGTTTCTCTTCTGTGCAATTGTTTAGAAGATACTACAGTCAGAATTTATGACATGTCATGACCAGCCCTTTACACTGCTGCTCTCATGGCCAGCCCTTTACAAAGCTGCTCTTATCTCTGGCCCTTTACAAAACTGCTTCCATGACTAGCCCTTTAAAAAGCTGCTCTCATGCCTAGCACTTTACAAAGCTGCTCTTATCTCTAGCCCTTTACAAAGCTTCTCTTACCTCTAACCCTTAAAAAAGCTGCTCTTATGCCTAGCCCTTTACAAAGCTGCTGTTATGACAAGCCCTATACAAAGCTGCTCTCATGACTAGCCCTTTACAAAACTGCTGTTATGACTAGCTCTTTACAAAACTGCTCTTATGCCTAGCCCGTTACAAAGCTGCTCTCATGACTAGCCCTTTACAAAGCTGCTGTTATGACTAGCCCTTTACAAAACTGCTCTCGTGACTAACCCTTTATGAAGCTGCTCTCATGACTAGCCCTTTACAAAGCTGCTATCATGGCTAGCCCTTTAGTTACAAATCTAAGTGAAGCATGAACTTGATTTAAATTACAACAGCTTTTGTCATGAATTCTTAAGAGATGCTGAGGTTCTACTCACCCCATCCACTGTAATCAGCCTCTTGGGGTTTCTGAGTGGTTGGTGGAGCAGGTGTGGGGCCTCCGTGGCAATTTAACTCATCCGTGTTGTCACCACAGTCATTCTTGCCATTACACAGCCATTCAGACCTCATACAGATTCCATTCTCACATTTCTCGGTAGAGTTGCATGCTGGGAGAAACGTGATAAAATGCCATGCATGAAGAATACAAACAGAAATAAAGTTACAGTAGTTTCAAAATAACAAGTGACAAAAAGACTAAAGTTAGGCATGAAACTAGCCGGTTGTTAAATTCTTCAAGTTTCTTCTTTAAACTTGCTCTGTAAACAATTTTCTCCAACTAATAGTTTTAACATTGGACTTCTTTTTTTCGTACAAGATCTACAGTTGGTAACTGTTTCATAAAGTTGCATCATAATATTAACTATCGGGCTAGAAATAACGAGTGATTGTTTTCTTTAGAGCAGGTTTCTTTATGTGAAAAAAAAATTATATTTCCATAAAATAAATAATAAGGTTACATTTTTTTGTATGACTTTCTTTATCAAAATTTTGAGGGTCACTAAATGCAAAGTGAATGAGATCCAGTTAAAAATGCGGGGTAAAAAATGTATAAATTATTCATGAAGGAATTTTGGGAATTTTATTGAACAAACCAATAAATTCCCATTAAAAAAATACAAGCTCAGTCTGTGACAAATAATTCATACTTTGCTAGGGAAATAACATCACGTTCATGTCAACACAATTTTGGATTTAGCTCAAATTGGTCTCATTTATTTATTCTTGCTGGTCTGATTTATGCTCGTTTAACCTCACCGCTGATATTTATACCAAAAGATATTTGATCGACTTACTTTTGGTTTCAAATGAAATGTTGAATCCGCCTGGCAATGCCTGGGTCAACTCCAACTTGATGATAAGCCGGTCACCACGAGAATAGCCGACTTGGTTGAGAGAAAATTCCAGAGATTTATTCTTCAAAGACTCTCCATCAAAGATCTTCAGAGACTGCTTGCTGTGGAGGCCAATGAACAGCCATAAGTTATTCCTCTCAACTACAGAATATTGCAGCAAACAATGGTCAGAAGTTTGATCAGATGAGACCTTACTGCGTGAGATTCTTAATGTAAAACTGAATTAGGTTACGGCTCCATCACACAAGGAATAAAAAAAAAAAATTTTTTTTTCCTTTGTATTGTTGTTAAAAAAAGGGTAAATTTTTTCCCCCCCCCCCCCCCCCCGGAGTCTTGTTTGGTTTTGATTATGTCATGAAAAAGAAACACTGACAAAGAAAATCAAAATTCAGAGATGATTAATAGACATGATGGACTTAGAGTCATTGTACTCGGCCCAAGCTTGTTATGTATGTGTGATCTATGTAGAGCAGATGATCAAAATAGAGCATGTGTTCTATGTAGGGCAGGTGATCTATGTAGAGCAGGTGATCAATATAAAGCATGTATTCTATGTAGAGCAGTGTTGTCCAAACTAAGTGTGGTTGCACTTTAATGACGGCAGAAGTGTATACCAGTGTCTGGCAAATGATTTGGAGAACCTCTGATTCTATGTGAAATTAATTACTTGCATGCTTCTCATAACGGTCCAACTATAGAGGAATCCGGCTCTTTTGCTGGATTGGGGGAGGGGGGCTAACTTTTTAAAAATAAAATATTTATTTTTTATTTAGTTAAGTAAAATTAGTAATATAGTAAAATGGTTTAAATTTATAAAAATTAAAGTTTTAAATATAATTATCATTGTTTTTTAAATAAAATTATTTTTTTACGAAACGCGACCGATACGAGTTTACGTCATCCATTTTGTTTTCTTGTCATGACTCGAAACGAGCTAGCTGCTTCGAAAAAAAATATATATTTTAAATGACAAAATGGACTTAGAAAACAATGAAATTAACTTTGATGAATAAAAAAATATAGTTTGCAATTTAATAATAGGATACTAGTTATAATCTTACAATTTTGTAATGACAATTTTATTTTCCAATCGTGTTTTGGTTTGAAAATTTTTTAAATAAAAGTGTTTGTTTACATAATCAGCTGATCAAATAGCTGATTTTAGCATTCATAGTTGACTTTGTGTTTTGACTAACTCTAACGAGTAAATAATTGAAGTTACTAATTTATCCTTTTAAAATATGTTAATAGGTAGTTTATTTCATATAGCCTAATATTTAAATATTTTTTTGTCTAATCAGTGCAGATAATAATACATTGACAATTGACGTGGACTTATGAAGATGTTGACCAGGGTCCCCCTCAGGCCATACCTAAGTTTATCCCTAAAAGAAAACCTGGTCTTAATATTATGGATTCTGAAAAGCAGACGACTAGAAATATGATGCAAAAATTAAAAACTGCAGGTAAGGAATATTTGATCCTATAATTGCAGTACTAATGAGAGATAGGCATAGGCCTAAGGATTTAGGTTTTATGCCTGATGCTTGTTTATTTTTTTTTTTTTTTTAAATATCACTTTTATTTTAATATAATATATTATTTTCTTATTACAACTATTATAATATTGTTATATCTGTGTTATATCAATAAAATCCTTCTTTTATGTCATGCTAGCCTGCAATTTACATACAAACCAATTATCGTACACAGGAAATTTCTTCAAAATTCTTTCTCTTTCAGGATTTCATTAAAAAAATTTGTGACTACACCCATGCGTATGCCAACCACATGAGAGAAGAAAAAGAAGCACCTGTACACTAACTGGGAGAAAATAACAACTACAGGACACTTTATTTGTTTTTCTTTACTTATGGACGTGAGTCTAATTCCATGATGCAGAGTTACTGTCTCGAAAAGAAAGAGCATCAGACTGTATTGGTAATTAAATGTTTGAAATGTGAAAAACATTTCTATTTAATTGAAATAATTGTTGATTGTTAGAATATCCCCTAAGCCTAGAAGACTCTTAGACTTTTTGTGTATTTGTATGTTTAGGCCTCATTTAGTTATGTAAGCTCTAGCTTAATTATTATTATTTTTCTATTTATTTATTTTCTATTAAAATTTATTTCAATAATTTAAAAACAAAATTATTAAAGTTATTTTTTATAATAAATTTTTAATGTATTCCTATTAAATATAAACTTTTAAATATAAAAAAATTGTTTTTAAACTTTGTATTGGAATAATTTTGTATAATAAGGTCACTGTCAAAATTTAACCGCAAAAACACTATTTACGCATGTTTCACCAAAAAAATATATTTTTAAACAACTAACATTCGCATTTGCAAAAAAAAATGTTTTTGGATTTTGTATATTTTATTGCAGAATTTAAAAAAAAAATTTTTTAAAACTTTTTCTTCTATAGGTTTCCTCTTTTTTTTTTCTCCCCACAGTATGTTGTTTGTGGAAAAAATGTTAAAATGTAAAAACATTTTCTCAGTCCAATCATGATTGTAAGAAAATACACAATCATTTTTAATCACAATTTAAAAAACATGAATCTCCATTCATTTTAGGACAAATAAATATGCAACATTATGGGTATTAGTCTGCTACTCTTTTTATGGAATCCCATTATGTGAGATGATCTTATAAAAAAAAAGAAAAAAAGAAAGAAAGAAGAAAAAAACCTATGAACTGCAAAGAGTTAAAATGTTTGAAAATATGTGCATATTGATAAATGAAGGCAATAACTGGGACATGTCTGATCTCACGTGATAATTTAAAGCAGTCAATGAGGCTCCATTGAGACAGCATTTAGTTGTAACAATTTATGTATGTCTCCATATACTTTATAAGAGCTTTAAACCTCGTATTCGCCACACAAAAACACTATCTACAGTGTAACAATACAATGTACGTCAACCATATGAAAAGTTAGGAAGGCTCAATAGCGTATTTTGAATTATAAAATCAGATGAGAGACCCAGTCCTTTTTTTTTTAAAACCACATTAATGGATTACCTCACCACTGTATGGTGGGTACTATGTTCTCAGGTAAATTTTCCCTTGATACTGACAGTATGAGAGTATAGAACTATGTTCTCTAGTATATAATCCCCACTGATACTCACATTATGGTAGTATTTTTTTCAAGGGTGGTGATGTTGAACCTGATAATATTTGTTGAGTTGGTTTTATCCGTTGTGTTCTTGACATCGATGGACCACACACAGAGACTGTTGTCAGGCAAGGAGGATGGGACAGGCACATTATTTGAGAAAATAGATGTCAGGTTGGCTCCACAGGCTGAAAGGGATTACATGGAAGAAATGAAAGATTCAATAAGAACATTGCTCACTAGAGCATCAGATGCATAAAATGTGCATAACTGGTTATAAAATGTTGCTATTAGAAAATGTATACAAGGGACTGTTGCTATTAGAAAATGTATACAAGGGACTGTTGCTATTAGAAAATGTATACAAGGGACTGTTGCTATTAGAAAATATATACAATGGACAGTGTTCAAGCTGTGTGAAGTAAATAAATAGTGTAACAAGATTTGTTTAGGCTTGAAAAAAAAAGACAATATATTTCTTTTTCCGTCTTCTTCTTCTTCTATATATTAAGGGCAAATGATCAATGTACTGATCATTCTGGCTCCTATGTATGCAGATGGGATTTGCAATATTTCTGAGCCTGATGTTGAAGAGGATATTTCAATGGTTGCAAATGCTACTCAGCGAGGGTACGATGAACCGGGGTTTGGAAGGCTTGAGGCAATAGACGCAAATGTGTCAAGTGTTGTCGCCTCAACTGTTCCTTTTGAAAGTTTGCTCCAGTCCCTGATTGTATTTAGCAGGAATGAGCAGCTCCTGTACTGGCTTTTTGCTGGTATGAGCCGGAACTGCCTGTCATGGCCTCGTCGCTGTCTATGGGGAGAGGGACGACTTTCTGTTTAATGCTGAAGCAGTGGACCAGTCCATCATTTATCTTGTATATCATTAAGAGCCTGGATAGTCGTCATCCTTCCTTCAATGGTGAGCAGTCTAGTTTTTTCACATGATGCCAACACTAGAAGAATTCATGTAGCGGTTCAGGCCAAAGCGTGCTGCCCGTCACTGGACCATCTCCAACCTGTCTCTCTTCTAGGTAAATGGGTCCCAGGCTGAAGATGTGTAATCTAAATGCTGGAAAAAGGCTTTATAAGTTCTTTCTTTCACACTGGAGTTGCCGATCTTTAGATTTCGCCTTAAAAACTCTAGGGTCTTGATTGCCTGGTTGCACAAATTGTTAATATGCTCGTCCCAGCAGACCTCTCTTTCAATGGTAACAATGTCTTACGGAAGAAACTAACTCAAGTATATGGCAATGCAGTTCGTAATGGGGGTGTAGATGGGGGTGTAGAGCAGTACAACTTGTAGAGACTGACAGTGTCTAGCCCTTGGCAGGGTGAAATTCCATGTCCCAGCACCGAGCCCTGGGGGGCCCCTGACTTAACACAGACAAAGAGGAAATCATCTTTCATTCTGATTTATAACTACTGTTAGTTTTGTATTAAATATCCAACAAATCTTGTAACAGACACCAGACAAACAACTAACTTACAGACACCAGACAAATAACTAGCTTACAGACATCAGACAAACAACTAACTTAAAGACACCATAAAAACATATAACTTACAGACACTGGACAAGCAATTTACTGTAATTTCAAACACCAGACAAACCTACTTGGTCTTAGATAGCTGACTTTGGCTCCTGATCCCACCTGGCTGCTGTTCCCTTCAGTGGGAGAGTTGAACTCTATCTTGGTTACATTGGTGGCTTTGACCAGCAGATCTGCTGTTGGCGTCACCTGTCCTCCTGGAAATGAATATGGACCAGAATTATCTTCAACAATGAGAAGAAAGAATTTCTGTGCATATTATTTAAATAATGTAAACCTTAGCAGCTTTTTGGAGAAAAAAATTTAACAACCAAACTTAAAAACAAAATAAAAAAATGTATGTTGTTTTTTTTTGGTGTAAATATAAATTTATTCCAAAAATTGTATAGAACAAAAGGGTATCCACATAATTCTACAATTAACATTAATGTTTAAGACTAGCCTTGGAATTAAGCTCAGACAACCTCATGCAGTGGCACACAGTCGAGACCTACCATATCCGGCCACCACTGTGTCATCTTCTATCACTTTGAGTGAATGGCCCGGGGCCAGATTGAGACTTTGAAACGTCAGCAGGATCAACTGGTCGGCTTTAGCATCATTGATGGTCCATGCACATTTGGCATTGATTGGATACACATTGGGGTGGTTGGGGGTGGTAAGGTCACCCTTGGACTTGAGCACGCCTCCACAAACTGAGGATTAATAATCACGGAAGAAAGATTTGTAGACATTATAATGTAAACAAGAAAACAAAGTTATATCAGACCAAAAGGTCCATACATGCCAGGCTTTATCTGGGGGGGGGGGAGGGGTGGGGGAGGGGAGGGGGGTGAGGGGGATAGGGGAAGAGGCAGGAGGAGGGGAGATGGGGGCAGGTGAGATGGAGGCAGGTGAGATGGAGGCAGGTGAGATGGATTGAAATGGAGAGGAAATAGGGAGAGAGGGACGAGAGGAGGGAGGAGATGAGGGACGAGAGGAGGAAGGAGAGGAGGGATGAGAGGAGGGATGAGAGGAGGGAGGAGAGGAGGGATGAGAGGAGGGAGGAGAGAGAGAAGGAAAGTGGGAGGGAGAGAGAGAGAGAGAGAGAGGGGGGGGGAGGGATTCTTTAGCTTAATTAAGTATAACTTAAGAATTTTCTCTCAACAAATATTATTAAAATTAAAACTTGCTTGAGCTAATTTTATACACTCCATATTTCACCAGCAATCAAAATGTTTAAGGAAAGAAAAATAATTGTTCATTTTAATTTGTATCTTGAGACATTTCTGTGAATCAATTTATTGCAACTAAATCAAAGAAACGATTAAATAATGGCTAATTTTACTCATGAGGGTGACAAGCTGTCCCATGCTGAATATTTTTATTAGTTTGAGATTCAAGAGAGTTAGACAATCTTCAATTAGTGTGCATCCAATTAGAGTAACGCTAATCCAAAATGATTGCAACGTCCAGATAGAATAACGCCAATGTTCTATGAGTCACTATCCAGCAAGATTAATGCCAATGTTCTATGAGTTAACTATACAGCAAGATTAATGCCAATGTTCTATGAGTTCACTATCCAGCAAGATTAATGCCAATGTACTATAAGTGCACCATCCACTAAGATTAATGCCAATGTACTATGAGTTCACTATCCACCAAGATTAATGCTAATGTACTATGAATTCACTATCCACTAAGATTAATGCCAATGTACTTTGAGTTCACTATCCACCAAACTTAATGCCAATGTACTATAAGTTCACTATCCACCAAGATTAATGCCAATGTACTATGAGTTCACCATCCACTAAGATTAATGCCAGTGTACTATGAGTTCACTATGTACTACGAAGAATTAAGAAAAATGTACAGATGTTTTTTTTTTCCAATTATTTTTTAAATCCCCTAACATATAACCCAAACAAACTGATAGAAACTTTTTCTGAAAAGCCAAAAAATTTTAAAACGTTCACTGGACCTGTAAGTTAATTTTGCTATCATCCAATATTCACCAAACACAACACAAGAAAAAAAATTTCATTACCTGAGCTCACAACTTCATATCTCACTGAAGTTTTACTTGGTAATGTTTCAGCTGTATTTCTTGCCAGATCAACACTGCCAAATGGAGATATTGTTGACATCTAAATATCTAAACTTATGACATTCGTAACATATAAATACTTAGAGATATAATGTTTTTAACATATAAATAATTAAACTTACGATACTGTTAACATATGATGGGCGTATAAGACCTCGGTGGCACTTTCTGTCCCCTTGACATGCTTATTTTTTAACAGTGATCTGTTCACATTGTAGTTTGCCTTAATTATTAAAGGACTAGCTCATGTGAAAACTCTAGCTCATGGTTTTCCAACCTTAAATATGTCCGCAAACCCTACAAATTATTTAACAAATTCTCGCACCCCTTAAAACAGTAAAAATGTATTTTAAATTCTGAAAATAATCTTCTAATCTTTTTATTGAATTGCCAAGAGAACTTGTAGAGGTTTGAAAAATAAACTTTTGAGTTATTATATACCGGTACAAGAAAATGTTTATCATTGATCATTTTGGCTCCTGGTTTGAATTCAGAGTTTGCCATGTTGGCTTTGGTGTAAACATTGATATAATGACTTAAAAGCTGTCTCCTCTGTTCTTAACTCATTTCATGGCACCACTTGAAATGCCAGCTCCCAGCTTTGGCTGGGGATCCCTGCTCAACCAGCTCCATAGCTTGCACTGTTTTAACTGCACACCAGCTGAACAGATCATGACACCAGCCCGTAAATAGATCATGACACCAGCTTAACAGATCATGACACCAGCCCGTAAATAGATCATGACAGCAGCTTAACAGATCATGACACCAGCCCGTAAATAGATCATGACACCAGCTTAACAGATCATGACACCAGCCCTTAAATAGATCATGACACCAGCTTAACAGATCATGACACCAGCCCGTAAATATATCATGACACCAGCTTAACAGATCATGACACCAGCCCGTAAATAGATCATGACACCAGCTTAACAGATCATGACACCAGCCCGTAAATAAATCATGACACCAGCTTAACAGATCATGACACCAGCCCTTAAATAGATCATGACACCAGCTTAACAGATCATGACACCAGCCCATAAATAGATCATGACACCAGCTTAACAGATCATGACACCAGCCCATAAATAGATCATGACACCAGCTTAACAGATCATGACACCAGCCCGTAAATAGATCATGACACCAGCTTAACAGATCGTGACACCAGCTGAACAGATCGTGACACCAGCTGAACAGATCATGACACCAGCCCTTAAATAGATCATGACACCAGCTTAACAGATCGTGACACCAGCTTAACAGATCGTGACACCAGCTTAACAGATCATGACACCAGCCCATAAATAGATCATGACACCAGCTTAACAGATCATGACACCAGCCCATAAATAGATCATGAAACCAGCTTAACAGATCATGACACCAGCCCATAAATAGATCATGACACCAGCTTAACAGATCATGACACCAGCCCGTAAATAGATCATGACACCAGCTTAACAGATCGTGACACCAGCTGAACAGATCGTGACACCAGCTGAACAGATCATGACACCAGCCCTTAAATAGATCATGACACCAGCTTAACAGATCGTGACACCAGCTTAACAGATCATGACACCAGCTTTAAAATAGATCATGACACTAGCTTAACAGATTTTAACATCAGCTTAACAGATCGTGACACCAGCTGAACAGATTGTGACACCAGCTTAACAGATCATGACACCAGATAACAGATCATGACACCAGATAACAGATCATGACAAACTCTTCAGCAAAGCTGTAAATGTACCTGTAAAGCTATAAGAGACAAACTCATGGGAAAATAAAACTGCCAACTACTTAAGCATCAAAAAAAAAAAAGGAGAGAGAGTTAGGATTACACACCTGATGCCTTCCCGAGCTGTTCCGTGAACCTGCAAAAGGTTAAATTCTTGGGCTGCAGTTTCACCAGCTGGCACTTCAAACTGAGCGATAACAGTGGAGCTGTCAACTCCCGATAAAACTTTCAAGGATTCACCAGCTCTCAGAGTGAGGCTGTCCAGGTACAAGATAATCTGACCTGCCAAAGTAGCACAAATCTATTGCCTAGTTTGATTAAGATTTTTTAATTAATTAAAATTTAGTTAAAGGTTAATTATAATTAGTTTATTAGATTTAGTTGCACCTGATTTGACCACATAAAAGTAAAGAAGAAGAATGTGTCTGAATGTGTTGACAGCTTAAGCAAACATTTTTAAAAATTTAAACGCAAATAAAAATCAGACCATCATTTTTAAGAACAAACCAAAATAGAATCTAAATTTATAGACTGGTTTTGGGTCACAATGTGACAGGATATTGTTTTAAATTGCAGTGTCTAGAACTTCGCTCACCATCAGTATTAGTATTGGGGTTGACAGTGTAACGGCAAACTCCTACGACATTGCTATTGTAGTTCCAGGAGCCACTGTTCCCGGTGGCCAGCTGATCACATCCTGTACAACAGTAGGGGAGAGAGGTTGTTACAAAATGTCAGAGAAAATGACAATGTATGATTGTACAAAATGTTTATTAAAATGCAACATTCTACATTGGGTTTCAATATATTCAAATACATTACATGTTCATTTTTACTGTTTGGGAGCAAACAGTTCGTTCATCACATTAAAACAAGTTAATCTGCCATCACATTAAAACAAGTTAATCTGCCATCACATTAAAAAACGTTAATCTGCCATCACACTAAAACAAGTTAATCTGCCATCACATTAAAATAAGTTAATCTGCCATCACATTAAAAAACGTTAATCTGCCATCACATTAAAAAACGTTAATCTGCCATCACATTAAAACACGTTAATCTGCCATCACATTAAAACAAGTTAATCTGCCATCACATTAAAACAAGTTAATCTGCCATCACATTAAAACAAGTTAATCTGCCATCACATTAAAACAAGTTAATCTGCCATCACATTAAAACAAGTTAATCTGCCATCACATTAAAACAAGTTAATCTGCCATCACATTAAAAAACGTTAATCTGCCATCACATTAAAACAAGTTAATCTGCCATCACATTAAAAAACGTTAATCTGCCGTCACATTAAAACTAGTTAATCTGCCATCACATTAAAAAAACGTTAATCTGCCATCACATTAAAACACGTTAATCTGCCATCACATTAAAACACGTTAATCTGCCATCACATTAAAACACGTTAATCTGCCATCACATTAAAACAAGTTAATCTGCCATCACATTAAAACAAGCTCCGACAAGACTTTCTTAAACTGTTATATTAACTGATATTTACAAACAGCTCAAACACAACCATCATTTATTTAATAGTTTAAGTAAAATATATACACATGAACTAAATCATTGTAGATTATATGAAGAGGTTTGTGAGCCCCATGTAATTGTGCATGACCCTTCCCATCCCTTATAACATACACACTGTATCTGCTCCAAGGGGGAGTATTTTAAAAATATCCTGAACCCAATCCCTGTATGCACATCTTAAAATATGCACATCTTAATCACTATATGCACATCCCAAACCCTACATGCACATCCCAAACCCTACATGCACATTTCAATCAATACTGTGAACATCTCAATCCTTTGTATGCACATCTAAATCCCATTATTCACATATCAAATAATTATTTTATAATTTATTATTATTAATTTTTTTTTTGTTGTTGTACTGATGCACATTTGAATGTGTAAATTGTGTGACAACACTATGAAGTTTAAGCTATACTGTTTTATTAACATGCATTTTTTGTGTGTGTCTCACTAGCCTAGTAAAAAGCTTTACCGCAGTCCAACACTTTAATAATTAGTTACTGAAAGCTGCAAAGACTCACCCGGGGCCAGACTGCTGAATGCAGCTTTAAAGACATTTGCTTTGCTGACTCGTGTTACGGCAACAAGTACGCTGCTACCACCAATCACAATCTTCAAATTGGGAATTCCCGATCTGTTGAGAGGTTGATTTTTGTTTTAAAGATTTTTCAAAGCCGGGGCAAAAATTAATCCTTATAAGAATTGATTTAAAATATAAAGAGAAGTTCAACCAGTTAGGTCCTTGGGAAAACTTCCAGATTATAAAAATAATGACTGACTTTTGAAGAGGAGGGTCTCGGCCGTTCTGAGGTTGGGGTGGGGGGGTTGATGTAGAAGGAGTGAGATTTTGGTGGATTGATGAAGAAAACTTAAAACACCCAGCAACAGGTCCATTGCTTTCAAATGTAAGTACAGGCATTAATGAAAAATTACAATGTTCCCAAGGAGAAGATCACAGATTTGGATGCCATGAAATTTATAATGTTTCCAATCTTTTGACCCCACCCTATTGAAATCTACTGCAGAAAACTCATGTGGCTACGAGGAAAAAAAATTACTCACTTGAGTGAAACCAAAACCGGGTCGGTGGGCTGCAGGCCGTCGTAGAAGACAACACTGGTTTCATTAATTGTCCTGTCACTGATGTTAACTTTGACCTTCATAGGAAATGGAAGCAATGCGTGTGGAATTAATTTCAAGAAATGTTTTACCATATAATTATAATCAAAGTGTTTTCAGAGTCAAAACTATAGTCATTTAAAATAACATTCACTGTGACAATATATTATCACAGTTTTTTCACGCAATTTAAAATCTTAACCAAGACTAGACCTGTTTGATGAGCCAGAGCTTATAAAGATACTGTGTGGGTTAACATGTTTGATGAGCCAGAGCTTATACAGATACTGTGTGGGTTAACATATTTGATGAGCCAGAGCTTATACAGATACTGCGTGGGTTAACATGTTTGATGAGCCAGAGCTTATACAGAGACAGTGAAGTATATAAATGTGCTAACAAACCCTAAAAAGTTCAAATGTTTATGCTCAAACATTGCAATTGCTCCCATGAGTGCCCCAAAGATGAGTTTATCAAAGGAACATTCTTGACCATATGCACCATGAGCACCAGCCCCATGTGCCACCAGACGCACCACCATGGGCAACCTGAAGCATCCCCATGTACCAACATGACCACTCCCTAATACCATCATAAGCACCCTCAACCCCCCATGAACCACCCCCATGTACAACCAGGAGCACCCCCCACCCAATGTACCAACATGACCACCCCCCTAATATCATCACAAGCACCTCCCCTGCCCCCATGAACCACCTGAAGCACCCCCATGTACAACCAGGAGCACCCCCCCCCAATGTACCATCATGACCACCCCCCTAATACCATCACAAGCACTTCTATGTACCATCTGGAGCACCCCCATGTAGCACCATCATTCCCATGAGCTCCCCCAAGTACCATCATGAGCTTTCCCATGAGCATCGCCATCAGCACCCCCTTTACCCTCCGGAGCACCTCAATCTATTAGTTTTAGATTTTATTTTGTAATCGGCCAGCACAGCAGCAGCAGCAGCACCGTCCTCACCAGCTGTCCAGGGCTTGCATTCAGCTGATAGTAGGTGACCAGGTCCTCTTGTTTATCATCGACACTGAGCTCTCCCTGGCTGCTGATTGGCCCACCACCATCTGCAAGGCGACGTTATTGATCAAGTCTTATATGTATCAGCCGTCTACACAAAAATTTAACCATTTTTACAGAGTTTAACTGCTTTAAATTATTATGAATTACAAATCACATGCATTCACCAGTGGCAAAGACACTACCAAAGTGGAAGCCATCAGGGAAGAAGTACAGTATAAATTATTGTGTGCACCTAATTCACACTTTTCTAACAATTTGTCCTGACAAATGTCTCCTAAATAAAGAAAAATTAACTTGGGTAATGACTGGCAGTTGTTTTGTTTTTTTTAACAGAAAGCAGTAAAATAATGCCCACTAAATAGATCAAAAGACATTAAATTTCTATTAAAAAATATTCAAAATTTTTAATTTTTCAAAAAGGGGGAGAGAGAGAGAGGGGGGGGGTGTTGTTAAATAATTTCCATATCAACAAGATAATATAGATAATTTTAGACCAACCAGCTGCAAGAAGACTCAGATTCAAGCTCCTAGCACCAGAAAAGTCTCCCAGCTGAAGACTGATCACAGCTTTGCTGCCTGAGCTCAGGAACAGCGATTCTGTGAACAAAATACAATGGCGGGTATTTATTAATTTTTTTAAAAACCAAAGCCCTCAATCCGAATGTTTTGTTGGTTGATATCCTGGTTCAATCAGGGCAGTGAGGGCAGGACATCAAGTGCGTTGACCTGATGGCTTTAACTTTAAGCCACAGACACTTTGACTTGGATAGAAGTGTTTGCAGACTGTTGCCATTTGGATTCCATGAGTGCCGTAAGTAAGAGCACTTTAAGGGATGATGCTCAGGTGTACATAGATTTTAAAAGCTAAACACTGCTGCTGACATGTCATACACCACAGATTTTATCAAAGTTATCTACATTCTGCAAACCTGAAACAGTTTTGGTGAATCCCTTCTTACATCTAAAACCCCATCCTATATCTTCTGTATTTAAACTATACCAACCTATGACGACTGCACCAAGCTTCTGTATTAAACTATACCAACTTATGATGACTGCACCCAGCTTCTGTATTTAAAATATACCAACTTATGACGAATGCACCCAGCTTCTGTATTTAAACTATACCAATCTATGACGACTGCACCCAGCTTCTGTATTTAAAATATACCAACCGTTGATGCCACTTGACCATGACTTGGAGATGGCTGCCCTACTAGAGCCTCCATCTGTGAAGGTCAGGAGGTCATAGCCATTAGAGATCTGGAGTGAATTTATTTTGGCTGTGATCCTGGCCAAGCTCGAAATGACCACCCAACGACAGACATAGGAAACACCTGGGTTACTGAAGTTCTTTGGGACCTCAAAAGTCTTCTTGATGGCCACCTTTCCTGAGCAATCTGCAAAAAAGGTGTGACAAAATGGAGAAGTGATATGGAGGGATGAAAAATAGGAGTGATGAGTGATGAGAAGGCGTGTCAAGTAGGGGGGATAAGAAGGCATGATAAGTAGGAGTGGTGCTAAGGAGAAGTGTTATGTAGGAGTGATGAGGAGTAGTGATAAGTAGGGGTGATAAGAAGCCATGATAAGTAGGAGTGATGAGGAGGAGTGATGAGGAGGAGTGATTAGGAGGAGTGATAAGTAATGAGAAGTAATAAGGAGACGTGATAAGGAGAAATAATTAGGAGTGTTAAGGAGGTGATAAGTAGGAGTGATAAGGAGGAGTGATAAGGAGGAGTGATAAAAGATAAGGAGAATTGATAGGAGAAGTGATAAGGAGGAGTGATGAGTAGGTGTGATGAGGAGTGATAAGGAAAAAACCATTTACAACCGGTACAAATTAACTCAAAAGTTTATTTTCAAACCTCTACAAGTGCTCTTTGCTATTCAATTTTAGATTAGAAGTCAATTATTTTCAGAATTTAAAATACATTTTTACTGTTTTGGGGGGGGGGGGGGGGGGGGATCATTTATTAAATAATTTGTTGGGTTTGCTGGCCCAGGCACAGTTGATCTGCTTTAGCACAATTCATATACATGGGCGCCAGAAGGCCCAGGCACAGTTGATCTGCTTTAGCACAATTCATATACATGTACGACAGAAGGCCCAGGCACAGTTGATCTGCTTTAGCAAAATTCATATACATGTGCGACAGAAGGCCCACGCAAAAATGATCTGCTTTAGCACAATTCATATACATGGGCGATAGAAGGCCCAGGCACAGTTGATCTGCTTTAGCACAATTCATATACATGGGCGATAGAAGGCCCAGGCACAGTTGATCTGCTTTAGCACAATTCATATACATGAGCGATAGAAGGCCCAGGCACAGTTGATCTGCTTTAGCACAATTCATATACATAGGTGCAAGTCATCTACATTAGCACAGTCCATTTTATCATCATTAGCACAATTTATCTGCATAAGCACCTTTCATCACTGACAACAGGCAAGCTGGGAATATGTAATTAGAAACTCATATTAAGTTATGTAATGAAAAATATATGACTTTTTAAGATTTTGAGAAACCCTGCAATCATAAAGTTGATAACAAAACAATATAACAATATATTTTAAGGAAGATGATAGTTACAAATGATTCAAAATTTTAAAGATTTTTTTAGATTTTTTTTTTTATGTGGCCATTTCAGTCAAATAAAATGCATGTATTTTGTGCCAATACCATCATAAGAAAAGCCACATAGCTGACACTTAAAATATCAATTAAATTTAAATTAATCTGGTCTAAAAAAAATATTTGGCAATATAATCAGGTCTGGAGAAGTATTCCAACCTTCACTGATTTATTTGAGAGGCAAAAAGTAAATATTGCAAAAATGGCCACATATATTTATTTATTTTTTTTTAAATTGAAGACCACCCTAACTGTGGATAATACTTTTATAATATAAGCTACGGTTAAGTTCTTGATTTAACTACTGTAACAGTGAGGTTCTTGATTTAACTACTGTAACAGTGAGGTTCTTGATTTAACTACTTTTACAGTGAGGTTCTTGATTTAACTACTGTAACAGTGAGGTTCTTGATTTAACTACTGTAACAGTGAGGTTCTTGATTTAACTACTGTAACAGTGCGGTTCTTGATTTAACTGCTGTAATATTTAGATTCTTGATTTAACAATTGTAACAGCTAGGTTCTTGATTTAACTACTGCCACAGGTGACACTGAGGTCGGTTCTTACCGTTAACAACTGGTTCAACAAAGATAGAAAAGCTCTGAGCTTGAGCCGTGTCAACCTGGAAATCTAATTTCACTGGCTTTATGCCCTCAGCAAAGAAGTCTTCACCATTTGATGTATCTGAAAGAAGATGGGGAGACAATGTCAGTGATCAAGTTTGACAAAGGTAAACATTGTGCTCGGCAGGGCTGGTTCTCAGGTATCCGGAGCCCACCTGCAGTCTATAATTTAAAACAAGGACAAATTAAACTTACATTTCCAGTTTCTTGGCCCATGTTGTAAGAACAGGCAACATAAGGCTAACAGATCAGATCTGTGAGAGTCTGCATACCACAACTTTGGGGAAAAACTGCAGCTAAAGCTGGCCATGCAGGTTGTGCCCAGCAAGTCATGATGAGAAACGTCCCCCCACCCCCACAACAAACATTTAGATTATTTTAATCAATATTCATTTGTTTCAGTTGGGATAGTGCTTACAGCCTACCTAGGTACACAAACACCAAGCACTAATGATAGTGCTTACAGTCTACCTAGGTACACAACCACCAAGCACTGGTGACAGTGCTTACAGCCTACCTAGGTACACAAACACCAAGCACTAATGATAGTGCTTACAGCGTACCTAGGTACACAAACACCAAGCACTAGTGACAGTGCCTACAGCCACACTAGGTACACAAACACCAAGCACTGGTGACAGTGCCTACAGCCACACTAGGTACACAAACACCAAGTACTAGTGACAGTGCTTAGAGCCACACTAAGTACACAAACACCAAGCACTAGTGACAGTGCTTACAGCCACACTAGGTACACAAACACCAAGCACTAGTGACAGTGCCTACAGCCACACTAGGTACACAAACACCAAGTACTAGTGACAGTGCCTACAGCCACACTAGGTACACAAACACCAAGTACTAGTGACAGTGCTTAGAGCCACACTAAGTACACAAACACCAAGCACTAGTGACAGTGCTTACAGCCACACTAGGTACACAAACACCAAGCACTAGTGACAGTGCCTACAGCCACACTAGGTACACAAACACCAAGTACTAGTGACAGTGCTTAGAGCCACACTAAGTACACAAACACCAAGCACTAGTGACAGTGCTTACAGCCACACTAGGTACACAAACCAACACAAAAGTAACAGTGCTTAGAGCAACACTAGGTACACAACACAAAGCAAAAGTAACAGTGCTTAGAGCCACACTAGGTACACAACACAAAGCAAAAGTAACAGTGCTTAGAGCCACACTAGGTACACAACACAAAGCAAAAGTAACAGTGCTTAGAGCCACACTAGGTACACAACACAAAGCAAAAGTAACAGTGCTTAGAGCCACACTAGGTACACAACACAAAGCAAAAGTAACAGTGCTTAGAGCCACACTAGGTACACAACACAAAGCAAAAGTAACAGTGCTTAGAGCCACACTAGGTACACAACACAAAGCAAAAGTAACAGTGCTTAGAGCCACACTAGGTACACAACACAAAGCAAAAGTAACAGTGCTTAGAGCCACACTAGGTACACAACACAAAGCAAAAGTAACAGTGCTTAGAGCCACACTAGGTACACAACACAAAGCAAAAGTAACAGTGCTTAGAGCCACACTAGGTACACAACACAAAGCAAAAGTAACAGTGCTTAGAGCCACACTAGGTACACAACACAAAGCAAAAGTAACAGTGCTTAGAGCCACACTAGGTACACAACACAAAGCAAAAGTAACAGTGCTTAGAGCCACACTAGGTACACAACACAAAGCAAAAGTAACAGTGCTTAGAGCCACACTAGGTACACAACACAAAGCAAAAGTAACAGTGCTTAGAGCCACACTAGGTACACAACACAAAGCAAAAGTAACAGTGCTTAGAGCCACACTAGGTACACAACACAAAGCAAAAGTAACAGTGCTTAGAGCCACACTAGGTACACAACACAAAGCAAAAGTAACAGTGCTTAGAGCCACACTAGGTACACAACACAAAGCAAAAGTAACAGTGCTTAGAGCCACACTAGGTACACAACACAAAGCAAAAGTAACAGTGCTTAGAGCCACACTAGGTACACAACACAAAGCAAAAGTAACAGTGCTTAGAGCCACACTAGGTACACAACACAAAGCAAAAGTAACAGTGCTTAGAGCCACACTAGGTACACAACACAAAGCAAAAGTAACAGTGCTTACAGCCACACTAGGTACACAACACAAAGCAAAAGTAACAGTGCTTAGAGCCACACTAGGTACACAACACAAAGCAAAAGTAACAGTGCTTAGAGCCAATCCCATCAATGGGGAAAGAAATCAATAGTTTCCATGAATAGCATTTAACCCCCCCCCCTTTTTTTTCCAAATTTTATAATTGCAACTCCTTCCTGTTTCCTCTCCTCTTTCTTTACCTTTAACCTTTCTCCTCCCCCCTTTCTGTCTTGTTCTTGACTATGAGTATCTTCCATATCCTGTTATCTCTTCAAATTACTATTTATTCTTCCTGTTCACTGGGTCAATCCTCATTTCATTTCCATATCCACCCTTATCTGTCTAGCACCCCTCTATCACTCTCTACCTACCTTACTGTATTGTTCTCTCTCTCTCTATTACTCTTGATGATTTGTCCACATAACTATACGATAACAATGATTATCCCTCTAATGTTCAACACCCCCACCCTTTCTGAAGGCCTCCCGGTTTCCATGCGGTTTGCACGAATGAACCCAGACCAATAAATCGAATTCTGTTGCTCGATCATTGTAAAATATATCAATAGTATTGATCTGGCACATGGCCCCTTGAGAGTGTTAGGAAATGGCTAGATGCAGCATGCCCGCCCTTACCCTGGATAAAGTCACACAGACACGTCTGCGTGGTGAAAGGAGTGCACCTTTCATGAACACATCCAAGTGGCCATCAGCCATGACCGTGTGTTCATGTGCATGTGTCGAGAAGTCACAGTGAGTCATGGCTCCAATGTCAACAAAGGGAGTTGATTGCAATCAAGGTAAGTCTTGGTTGCAGACATAATTACCGGTTGGAAGTCGGTAGTAGATACAATACGATGTCTGTTGGACGTAGGTAGTAGATACAATACGATGTCTGTTGGACGTAGGTAGTAGATACAATAAGACCGTTGGACGTTACATAACAGACGTAATGACCAGTGAGGTGTACACATGTACATAAAGTAGACACAATGACCAGTGACGCGTAAGTCGTGTACATGAAGTAGACAAAATGACCAGGGAGGTGTAAGTCATGTAAATGAAGGAGACCCAATGACCAGGGAGGCGTAAGTCGTGTACATGAAGTAGACAAAATGACCAGGGAGGTGTAAGTCATGTAAAATGAAGGAGACCCAATGACCAGGGAGGCGTAAGTCGTGTACATGAAGTAGACAAAATGACCAGGGATGCGTAAGTCGTGTAAATGAAGTAGACCCAATGACCAGTGACGCGCAAGTCATGTACATGAAGTAGACAAAATGACCAGGGAGGCGTAAGTCGTGTACATGAAGTATACAAAATGACCAGGGAGGCATAAGTCGTGTACATGAAGTAGACAAAATGACCAGGGAGGCGTAAGTTGTGTGCATGAAGTAGACAAAATGACCAGGGAGGAGTAAGTCGTGTACATGAAGTAGACCCAATGACCATTGATGCCTAAGTCGTGTACATAATGACCACTGACCCGTAAGTCATGTACATGAAGTAGACAAAATGACCAGGGAGGCGTAAGTCATGTACATGAAGTAGACAAAATGACCAGGGAGATGTAAGTCATGTAAATGAAGTAGACCCAATGACCAGGGAGGCGTAAGTCATGTACATGAAGTAGACAAAATGACCAGTGACGCGTAAGTCATGTACATGAAGTAGACAAAATGACCAGGGAGGTGTAAGTCATGTAAATGAAGTAGACCCAATGACCAGGGAGGCGTAAGTCGTGTACATGAAGTAGACAAAATGACCAGTGACGCGTAAGTCATGTACATGAAGTAGACAAAATGACCAGGGAGGTGTAAGTCATGTAAATGAAGTAGACAAAATGACCAGGGAGGTGTAAGTCATGTACATGAAGTAGACAAAATGACCAGGGAGGCGTAAGTCATGTAAATGAAGTAGACCCAATGACCAGTGACACGTAAGTCGTGTACATGAAGCAGACAAAATGACCAGGGAGGCGTAAGTCGTGTACATGAAGTATACAAAATGACCAGTGACGCGTAAGTCATGTACATGAAGTAGACAAAATGACCAGGGAGGCGTAAGTCGTGTGCATGAAGTAGACAAAATGACCAGGGAGGCGTAAGTCGTGTGCATGAAGTAGACAAAATGACCAGGGAGGCGTAAGTCGTGTACATGAAGTAGACCCAATGACCAGTGACGCGTAAGTTGTGTACATAATGACCAGTGACTCGTAAGTCATGTACATGAAGTAGACAAAATGACCAGGGAGGCGTAAGTCGTGTACATGAAGTAGACAAAATGACCAGGGAGGCGTAAGTGTAGACACAATGACCAGTGACGCGTAAGTCGTGTACATGAAGTAGACACAATACCAGGGACGCGTAAGTCATGTACATGTTATAGACCCAATGACCAGTGACAAGTAAATCATGTATATGTTATAGACCCAATGGCCAGGTTGACGAAATGAGATTTTTCATTGAGTTCCGCGAGTTTAGAGACAGCTCCTTGTTAACGTTAGCAAGCACCAACCACCACCATCAATTGGAAAGTGCTGTTGACTGTACTTTATGCATTCGGAGTGCAGTCATGCCCCTCCCCCACACACACACAGACACTAAAGTCATTGAAATCGCCTCTGCCTGCGTGGCGAGGCAAATACGCTAAAATTAGCTGGCGTGGGTAAATTGGGTTTGCACGGCTTCCCTAACACTAATAGCACAGTGTGATAATATATCAATTATGTGTGTGTGTGTGTGTGTGCAGTTGACCTCCGACCTTCCATAAAGACTATTTTTAAGTTGAGATCACTCTTAAGAATTGAGTCAAGTGCCAGACTACGCGGAGCCCGTCCCCTGGCCGTCCAGGGTTCCAGTGACCAGATGGCAGTGAACGGTGTCACGGAGATAGAATTAATAATAGGCTGGCCGGGGAGCTGGACGGCGTCGTTCAATGACCACGGTTGTCAAAAGGGTACCCGGGTGCCCGCCCGGGTACACACCCGAGGTAACTGCCCGGGGAATCCGTCAGTTACCCGACTTTAAGAAATTATATTAATTTTTTTTTGTTAAACAATCAGATTTACAAGAAGATTGTTGTATTGTGACCGTCTACTGCCATTAGCACCCGATGTCGCCTCCTGCTAGCACTGCGGCTCTCAACTTGTGGGTCGAGACCCCTTTAGGGGGGGTCGAACGACCCTTTCACAGTTGTCGCCTGAGACCATCGAAAAACACATATACTCTACAGTTATGAAGTAGTAAGGGAAATAATTTTGTGGTTGGGGGGTCGCCGCAACATGAGGAACTGTATGAAGGGTCGCGGCATTAGGAAGGTGGATAACCGCTGCACTAGCACCTGTATACTTATGCCGGGCCGTGGCTCGCCAGAAGGACTGTCACGAATGATGCTAGTTCCGGAGGGTGGTTCCATCAAACATGGTAGTTTGCTAATATTTAATGCTGTTCTGGCGAGATAGGCTTGTTACCTTATTTTTACAAATTTGATCCCTGATGGATTATATCATTTTTTTTCTTTCTTTTTTCTTTTACTAAAAAGTTACAAGAGTTCAAAGGTCAGCATTTCTTTAAAAGCTCATAGAATACGTGTCAACATGCTAAGTTTACTAGACTACAAAGTTGAGATGATGAAATAATGGACATGATCCATGTAGGATTTAATGAACTAGATGTAGGAATTAATCGTGATGATCTTTCAGTTTGAAGATACATCTGAAAGAGAATGCCAAAATCAATACCACTAAATCGGTAGATCATTAGACTCCACACAAACTCGTCAGCTTCGACGGGCACCGGAGTACGTGAGTCGACAGTCGACGGGTGAACTCGGGCAGGTGTTTTTCCAATTTCTGTACAGCCTTGTTAAATGACCGCCCCCCCCCCTCCCTAGACCATCACTGTGCCACACGTAACCACCGGCTGTGTTTTTTTCTTTTAAAAAAAAAAGGTCGGGGGTGAGGGTGTTGCAGGACCATTTAGTAGCCACCGCAGACTGTCACACGTCACCACTGGCTGGCTTTTGTGAGTGGCCCCGGGGGAGGGGGGGTGTTGCAGGACCATTTAGTAGCCACCGTAGACTGTTACACGTAACCACTGGCTGGCTTTTGTGAGTGGCCCCGGGGGAGGGGGGGGGTAAAGTACTCCAGGCTTTTAATGTATCGTTAGTATTTAGTAGGCGCTAGTTAGTATTACCACAAGTCATATTGGATAAAGCCATCCATGCCCCCCTCCCAGGTTGCCATTGAAGGATCTTGTCCCTGGTCGTGACCTCGCCTGTAACCTCGTGTTATCATTACCATTAGCCATTTCTCCACGTCCCCGGTATCTCGTGTTGTTCTGGCCTTGGGGCGACTCGGCTTTGGGTTTATTCAAATTGACTTATTTCAAATGTAACATGGTAGGTAGCCTTTGACTGTGTTATCGATAGGTGGGGGGGGGGGGGGTGGTCAGAGTTGGGGGGTCGTAAGAATGAATCATGTCCCCTGACGCCAAACCCTCTAGCTACGTCCCGTTCAGAGGCAAATAAAGAGGGGGGTGAGACCGGTATCTCTCTCTCTATATACACACATATATACCGGTAGAGATAGAGTTAAGGAGAGGGGGATACAACAGAGCATGAAAAGAAATCGATATACATTTTCCTGTAAAGTGTAATCTATAAATCCAAGGTGAAATCAGGTACAAGCTTGTTAACAAACAAACAAAAAAACAAAAAAAAGTACCTTTATTTTTTGGATAACCTCCGACATTCAAAGATAATGGCTAACTATTTTATTGCTAATGTATGTCTATCAAATTTCAATAGGGGCCTTTAACTGATAGAAATAGAAGATCGAGTAATGTATTTTTTATATTTTATTATTATTGGGGCAAGGGGGTGTTATTCCAAAAAATTATTTCTAATTTAAGTCAAGTCAACTAACGTAAAAAGTATACGCCATAATACAAGACATTTATTTCATTAAAGGGAACTGCGCCGAGGCTAGGTGAGAGTAGTCTAATTAGAATAACGAACTGGAAACTATAATTCTTTTAATTTGATGCCTTGACTGGTCGGGGTCTGTAAATAAAACAGTTCGTATCCTTGACTCCGCAGACCCTGCGACACCGGAGAGCCACGGCGACTTGATGCCAAGCGCACATTGCAAGGGAGGCTCGCCACCACGCGTGATGGAGTAGTTGAGAGGACGGACATCAAGAGAATCTAAACAACGGGTATGCTTGCAAGAACTAAACGACATCCAAGAGGATGAAGCGGAGCTTTGAAATGTTGGCGAGAAAAGCAGGCACGTGACCGTGACTCAAGCGTGCAAACACGATAAAGCCATCACGTGACCGTGACTCAAGCATGCAAACAAGATAAAGCCATCACGTGACCGTTACTCAAGCATGCAAACAAGATAAAGCCATCACGTGACCGTTACTCAAGCATGCAAACACGATAAAGCCATCACGTGACCGTTACTCAAGTATGCAAACAAGATAAAGCCATCACGTGACCGTTACTCAAGCATGCAAACACGATAAAGCCATCACGTGACCGTGACTCAAGCATGCAAACAAGATAAAGCCATCACGTGACCGTTACTCAAGTATGCAAACAAGATAAGCCGGTGAAGATGACAAAAAGAAATAAGATTAGGCCCGTAGGGAACAAACCCAGTAGTGTTGTCCGGGCGAAGAAGGTCGTGGAAGCGGTGGTGTACACAGACACGCTCCTCAACGACCTCCATCACCAAATCAAGAAAGGTTCTCATGGTAAAGACGACGCCATTCAAAGACTGGATGAACTCCTCAGTCGGGACGACGGCGGCGACGCACTGCTCAGTTACCGTCAAACCAACAAGGAGCAATTCACGGGCGGTACACGCGGCAAGAGGGGCACAGAGGACACGCTCCTCCATACCGCCGCCCTGTACCAAGAGGACAACGCCCTCCTTGAGAGGCTCGTGAATCGATGCCCCGGCCTCGTCACGGTGGCTAGGACGGGGGATTGGCTGGGCCAGACTGCACTTCACATCACGCTCAGCAAAGGAAACGACCGCGCCAGCGAGTTCCTGATAGAACACGCGGGCGCCGACAAACAGGAGCAATTGTTCGCGTCCAGGGCAACGGGTTCAAAGTTCAAGGACACCGTGCTGATGGGTCAGTTCGCGTTATCGGTGGCCGCCCTTACATTCAACGAGCACATGGTCTCGTTTTTACTGGACAAAGGTGATCGCATCAGCAGACCAAACAGCCATGGCGACACGCTGATTCACACTTTGATCAAATTTGCCGGTGTTCGAAGAGAGAAAACCTCCAGAGTCATCAGCATGTTGCATTACCTACACGGCAAGCTTAGAGACTGTCGGACAAGTCACCCCCGAGAGGACCCCCGGGCCGTCTGGTACAAGGCCAACCGTGACAAAATGTCCGCACTCAAACTTGCCGCGCACCTCGGCCAACTGGAGACCTTCTCTGCGATCCTCAGGTTGGATAGAGTTTACCGCGTGCTGGAAAGCCACGATGGAGTCATGGACACGCACCGCTATGACGTCACTGAGATCGACCCCCTGACGCAGCAAAAGTCAGAATTCAAGAAACTGAAAGCGGGGCTAAAGGGTGGCTACCCTCAAGTCTGTAGACTAAGGGCGCGCCTCCAGTGTCGCCGGCCCTTGTCAGTGTTGGAGATAATATGTTCTCGCAGCGCAAAGCAGGCGCACGGCTTGGTCAATGTTGACGTGGTGAAGGACATCATCAGAAAAAAATGGATTTGGTACAGAAAGATCCATTACACTTGGGCCTTATTCCACCTGTCCTTCACAGTTTTACTCAGCACGTATGCTGTTTTCAAGACAAAAGTTACCAACAGCGACATCGCTGGAGTCAACACCACGAAAAATGACCTCGACAACGCGACGCACCAGCAGCACAGATCCTTTACTGATCATTCTATCTACGTCCACTTGGTGTACGCCGCATTGATTATCTTGTTCGAGTTGAGGCGGTCGCTGTACCTCAGGCAATGGTGGTACTGGCGTCTGCCTCACCACAACGCCTGGTACAGAACTACGCTCATCGTCTTCTCAGTCTGTCTCATCCTAGACTTCAGCCTGTACAAGACGGGCGTAGACAACCCAATCCCACTGCTGCTGGCCTTACTCATAGGATGGTGGTTTCTCACGTTCTTCTTGCGATCAGTGAAAAAATTCTCTTTTTACACTGTCATGTTTCAAAAAGTCCTATCTGGAGATCTGCCACGCTCCTGCTCTATCATATTACTTGAACTGTTTTCATTCTCCCTGGCTATGTACATCACCATCAGGACAGAGCCAGAGAGAAAAGAGTTCCGGGACATCTGGTCAACGCTGCTGACCATGTTCAACCTGATGCTCGGCCTCGGGGACATTGACCTCCTGTATGAAGCCAGGGAGCTGTGGCTGGCAGTGGTTCTCTACGTCATGTTCATCCTGATCACATACTTGCTGCTCATCAACTCTCTCATCGCCATGATGTCCAAGACGTGCAACAGTGTGTCGGACCACAGGGATGCCCAGTGGGACCTGCAGAGACTCTCTCTCATCCTCTTCCTGGAGAGCATACTGTTTCACAGGCTACAGCTCGTCCCACTCAGTCAGTTGCAGTACGTCTCAAAAAAGGAGATGATCGGCAGAGAAATGAATGAGAGAAGGTACTATCACCGCTTTTCATCCCACCAAACAAACCAGTCGAGTGGTCGTGAAAGGTGGCAAAATCCTGATATGATAACCACATTTGGGTTCCCAGAGCAGAAGACATATGAGAATATGCGACCAACATTACATTCATCCAGCCATGAGTTATATGAAAATGAGGGACTAACTTTACACCCAAGCAGTGACTCATACCACAAAGAGATTTCTAGCACAGCAACAAGAACTTGCAGGTTCACTCAGCCCAACCTTGACTCACCTACTGAGAACAATGAGTCGACCACGCAGCAGCCATTTAATCAGTTTCTGCGGCTTATTCCAGTCGGGTTCATCCCGCATTCCGACTCCAGCCTCAGAGCCCAAACCACCTGGCACAGCTTGCCTCAAAGTCACCAACTGTATTATCTTGCCGGAGGTATCGGGGAGACCTTGCAGCCCTCCAATCAGCCCCCCATCGTATCAATCACTGACACAAGCTTACTCCAAGCACAGCCCGTCTATTGTATCCTTGTGCAGCCCGATGTTGATGTTGAACCAATGCCCCTGGTGGCATCACAAACTCAACCCAATCTCCCAAGACCAGTAAATGATGTTCATCCGAGCAGCCAGAGACACAGCTCTAGCCATCAGAGATTTACAAGCGGTGACACAGCCAAGAATGGTAGAGAGAAGGGTCAGAAACGTGTGTGGCTGGACGTCAATGACCTGGACTCAGAGGGCGAGTCCTTTCATCGGTTCAAAGAAGAGCCATTTCCAAGAATACAAACAGGTGGTCCGATGAGCATCAAGTAATTCGTAGCTTTATCCTTTACTCAATTTTGTATGCGGTTTACTAGATTAATCAAGTCATATATTTTGCTAAACCTTCATATAGTTTTAAAATGTGTTTTCACAAACCTAACTTTCACTAAAAGCATGTAGAATATTCTTTCTTTAGATTATCTATGTAATTATTGCAGCTGTATACATCCTCTTTCAGTGGCTTTTTAAAATGTTATTTTCTTCTCCTTTCTGGTATGTTCTCTATGTAAACATTCAATGGTAGAAGCTAACGACACATCAAATGCATGTATGTCAAAGACGTTTGATTTCTACTTTTAGACCGGTGATGAGAAATGAGCGATCAAAAATGACATTTTAAAATAAAAATACAAACACTTTCAGGAAAAAGAGGTTTGCCTCCATTGCCGCACATCATGGCAAACATTGTTGAGTCACTCTCTTCACTCATATACAAACTAATGGTAGAAACAGACCCAGTTGTGTTAAAATTAACACAGGACATTATTTTTAATATGATAATTATGCACACAAAAAAAACTGAATTTAAAATAATTATATTCATAATAATAAAACTCCAGCATCTCAAGTTTCACGGTGTTTAATGAGTCTGTTAATGGAATTTCGTAAGTCTGTGTACACGGTTTAGCAAGTCTGTGTACAGAGTATAGCAAGTCTGTTTACAAGGTTTAGTAAGTCTGTCTACAGGGTTTAGCAAGTCTTGCAAAGGGTTTAGTAAGTCTGTGTGCAGGGTTTAGTAAGTCTGTCTTCAGGGTTTAGCAAGTCTGTGTGCAGGGTTTAGCAAGTCTTGCACATGGTTTAGTAAGTCTTGCACAGGGTTTAGTAAGTCTGTGTGCAGGGTTTAGTAAGTCTGTCTTCAGGGTTTAGCAAGTCTGTGTGCAGGGTTTAGCAAGTCTTGCACAGGGTTTGGTAAGTCTGCGTGCAGGGTTTAGTAAGTCTGTGTGCAGGGTTTAGTAAGTCTTGCACATGGTTTAGTAAGTCTTGCACAGGGTTTAGTAAGTCTGTGTAGAGGGTTTAGTAAGTCTGTAGACAGGGTTAAGTAAGTCTGTAGACAGGGTTAAGTAAGTCTGTGTACAGGGTTAAGTAAGTCTGTGTACATGGTTTAGTAAGTCTGTGTACATGGTTTAGTAAGTCTGTAGACAGGGTTAAGTAAGTCTGTAGACAGGGTTTAGTAAGTCTGTAGACAGGGTTAAGTAAGTCTGTAGACAGGGTTTAGTAAGTCTGTAGACAGGGTTAAGTAAGTCTGTGTACAGGGTTTAGCAAGTCTGTGTACAGGGTTTAGTAAGGCTGTGTACAGGGTTAAGTAAGTCTGTGTACAGGATTTAGTAAGTCTGTGTACAGGGTTTAGTAAGTCTGTGTACAGGGTTTAGTAAGTCTGTGTACAGGGTTTAGTAAGTCTGTGTACAGGGTTTAGTAAGTCTATGCAAAGGGTTTAGTAAGTCTGTGCACAGGGTTTAGTAAGTCTGTAGACAGGGTTTAGTAAGTCTGTGTACAGGTTTTAGTAAGTCTATGCAAAGGGTTTAGTAAGTCTGTGCACAGGGTTTAGTAAGTCTGTCTACAGGGTTAAGTAAGTCTGTGTACAGGATTAAGTAAGTCTGTGTACAGGGTTTAGTAAGTCTGTGTACAGGGTTTAGTAAGTCTTTGTACAGGGTTTAGTCAGTCTATGTGCAGGTTTTAGCAAGTCTGTGTACAGGTTTTAGCAAGTCTGTGTACAGGGTTTAGCAAGTCTTGCTCAGGGTTTAGTAAGTCTGTCTACAGGGTTTAGTAAGTCTGTGTACAAGGTACAATGATTTTGTCGACAGAGCCATTACTTCCAGAGGTTGCCATGCATGTTCTAGAGAGAACAATAAAAACCCTCAGGATGCGCCATGAAATGAAACAAACAAGAGACAATGCTCTCAATGCACTTAGATCAATTGTATGCATTCTGATTGCCCCAAAACCAGTTTAAACATATTTCATCAAAGCAAAACTAGAACAAATGAGAGAAAAATCCAAAAAGCTACTGTCCATCAATCTATTTTGGAAAGCTACTGTATCTAAAACAGGATCATCATCATCATCATCACACCGAAACAACCGGTTTCAAAATTATATGTCTAAAGAGTTGGCTAAAATGAAGCTGCATCTCATGCCACTGAGAACTAATTCTTAGGATAACTGATACTACACAGACCATAACTTGTGACATTGAATTTACAGTAATCTGCCTGCATTGTTAAACACACTGGTGCGATTCAGTGACATTAACTAGACTCTTACACAAAACTTACCTGGAAAGTTTGAACTCATTCCATACGGCTGCCACTAAATGCATAAAAAGTGGCTTACGACAGCTGCATACGAACGCACCTAAAAACACCTCTCTCATTATTTTAAAACAGCAATGAAATCATATGTCCCCTGTGTGATTTCATAAGGAAAACCAGATGATTTTTTTTTTATCGTTTCATTATTAATGTAAATATATTTTACTAACATAAACAAATAAAAAAACTGCATTACTCCCCTTTGCTTGGGAATATTAATTAATTTAGGAAGTTGCAAAACACTACACAATGAGTTATCCACAGGTGAGACTGAGTGACATGGAGAGACAAAAACTTACTTGTAAAGCTGGCATTGTTAATCCCACTGCTGAGACTCAGTTCGGAGTTATTGAAGACCGAAAGAGAGAGAAAGGACAGGGCAGCTATTCGATCCGATGGGAGGTTGCATGCTATATCATAGATGCATCTGAAGCTTTTCCCAGGAGTGGCTAGAAACTTTGGAGAATCAACTTTGTGGGACCAGTCATTGGAAATGTCCACTTTACAGTCTGTGACAGAAGGAAGGCATCGTGACTATACAAGTAGCTACATGACAATCTAGATACCAATTTCTCCACCTGATAAAAAATCAAACTCTTATCTGTTGAGCCCCACTATTATCTATTAATGAAATAAAATATTCATAGTAAATGATACTTAATATTTGATGATAATTCTATCTACAGGGAAGTAAAAATTGGAGAGCTATATGTAAATGTGTATTTAGAACTATCTGTGTATGTGCACTTTGAACTATCTGTGTATGTGCACTTTGAACTATCTGTGTATGTGCATTTAGACATTTATGTGTATGTGTACTTAGAATTATCTGCATATGTGCACTTTGAACTGTCTGTATATGTGCACTTAGAACTATATGTTTATGCATGTGTACTTAGAACTATCTATATAATTGTATGTAGAACTATCTCTAATATGTACACTAAGAACTATCTGTATAACTAACTATCTGTATAACTGTATAACTATCTGCGTATGTGTTCTTAGATCTATCTGTATTGTATATGTGTACATAGAACTATCTGTAATATGTGCATTTAGAACAGTGGTTCTCAACCTTCCTAATGCCGAGACCCTTTAATACAGTTTTTCGTGTCGCGGCGACCCCCAGCCACACAATTATTTTCGTTGCTACTTCATAACTGTAAGGATATGTGTTTTCAGATGGTCTTAGGCGACCCCTGGGAAAGGGTCGCGTGACCCCTAAAGGGGTCGCGACCCACAGGTTGAGAACCGCTGATTTAGAACTATCTGTATAACTGTACTTAGAAATATCTGTATAATTGTACTTGATTGATTGATTTTGATATTTATATCGCGCTGGTATCCATGCCACTTTAGCATGATCACTGCGCTCTGGTTTTCCGAAATCAATTTCAACAAAAAAGTTTTTAAATGTTTCTTAAATGTTTTTTATCATTTACAATTCCCCTCAAAGATTGAGGCAAACTATTGCATAATTTTGGTGCTATCGCTTCAAAAGAGCGCACTCCGTTAGACTTTTTTCTGTGCTCATCCACACTAGGAACACTCAGTAAGTATTGTGTTGAAGACCGCAGGCTCTTCAAGGATGCATGTTTATAAATCAGTTCTTTGAGATATTCCGGTGCTGAGCCATCTATGCAGCTGTATGCCAGGGACAGAATTTTGTAGTAAATGCGCTTACTCACAGGAACACAATGGAGATCTCGTAGAACTGGGGTGATGTGGTCAGCTTTCTTCATTCGCGATACAATGCGTGCTGCAGTATTTTGTATCTTTTGGAGTCTCTGAATTTGGTTCTGAGGTAAACCCCACAAACAACTGTTACAGTAATCTAATCTTGACTGGATTAGTGTTACTCCTACATCATTGGCTGTTCTCCTAATCAGTTGAGGACGCAGCTGACCCAGGGCACGCAAATGACAGAAGCATGCCTTGACCACAGAACTGATATGGGGAATCATACTAAGTTTATTGTAAATATAAAAGCCAAGATCTCTGACAGTCGAAGACAACGGGATCTCTGATTCACCAACTTTTATTGATGCAATGGCAAATTTCCGAAGATTGGTGTCTGAACCACAAATAATTGCCTCAGTCTTATCATCATTTAATTTTACCCCCTTTGATCAGACATCCATTCTTTCACATCAAGACAGCAGTCCTCGACAGCCTTAGCACACTCCAAGGGATCAGGGTGAAAACACTTGTATAGTTATGTGTCATCTGCAAATATTTTGCGGGAAATACCATGATTTTTAATCATTATGCTGAGCTGGCTAGAGTACATGGAGAACAGAATAGGTCCAAAAACTGAGCCCTGTGGAACACCACAGGTAACGGAAGTGTCCATGGAAGATGCCTGCTTCACAACAATACGCTGAGTCCTGTCAGTCAGATAAGAAAACCAGCAAAGTGCGGTGCCATTGATGCCTGCCACATTCAGAAGTCTTGACAGTAGAAGCTCATGGTCGATCACATCAAAGGCAGCACTGAGATCCAACAGAACCAATAATGTCAGATCGCCACGGTCAGCACTACAAAGAACATCATTCATAACACGGAGTAGTGCTGTCTCACAGCTGTGCCCAGGTCAATATGCAGATTGAAATTTGTCAAGCAAGTCATAAGTGTTGATATGCTGCACAAGCTGCTGTGACACAACTCTCTCAAGAATCTTAGATACAAAGGGCAGGTTGGAGACCGGGCGGAAATTCTTGCAGTCATTTGGGTCCAGACCACTTTTTTTAAGCAGAGTCTTAACGACCGCTGGCTTGAAGAGATGTGGGACTGTAGCAGACTGAAGGCTAATATTCACGATGTTGACCAGTACAGGAAGCAAGACTTCCAGACAGTCAAAAACAGTCCTGGTTGGGATGGGGTCAACAATAGAAAATGCAGGTTTAGATGCCAGGATTATATGTCTTAATTGTTCATGGGGAAACTGGGGAAAATTCCACCAGAAGGTTGCCTTCAAAGACTACAAATTGCAACATTCCCCAAAGCTCCTTGTGATTGCTTCAATTTTGTCAGTGAAAAAGTCACTCAGTTTAACTGCAGCTTGCTCGCTTCTCATGTCAGGCAAAACAAGGGGTGCTGATTTCTTCCCAAGAAGGTCATTCACCACAGAGAACATCTTGCAAGAATCAGTACCAGCTGCCGTACTTAGAACTATCTGTATATGTGTTGAGGCTCGCTCACATTCTTAGGAAATTGAAAGTACTTAGAGGTCTAACAGTAGCATTTATTGACAAGCCTGACAGTATCATGAGTGTCTCCAAACTTAACATGCTTGTATTTAAACCATGAGATCAATTATAAACTTACCATAAACTTGAATCAGCTTTGCTATGACTAAAACATGTTCAAATGAATCATTCACTCACCCAAACTATAGTTCAAGGTCCAATTAGAAGTTGAATTGACTCCAGCCGTAAAGATAATTGTTATGTTCTTCTGTAGAGCTGCGACCACAGGGAATGGTGCTGAAATAAGGATTTTTAATTTTAAAACTTGTATTATGTTTTGAAAATATGAAATGAATGGGATGGAGGGGAATAGTTAGTACACACCTATAAATAACTTTCAGATCCATACGAAAAAATGGGGAAAAAATCTATAGAACCTGTTAGTGAACCAAAGCAAAGAATGCCATTTCGGTGAGTCATTAACTTTTTTGATGATCACTTAGATAAAATTAATCAATATTTTGATATCAACTGGGAAAAATCCTGCCCAAAAACAATGTCTCTAATTTCTTTTTTTATTTAACACATAAAAGATTTTAATTTAAGAAAATAGATCCCATTTGAAGTTACCACTGTAACAGAAGCTTTAATTTAACCTTACACAAGGTTGACATTCAATCACAGTGGGCTGAAACTTGTGATTGAAGACACAGGCAATTTTCAACACTAATTGCTGACATTATTGATGGAAGACAAAGAAAATATTCACTTTATGCCGACATTTGTGTTTAAAGAAAACAGTAGAAATAACCACTACGCAAAACCCAGATGATGCAAAGAAAAATTATTAAATAGACATTTCTTGGTGTGAAGTCAATAACTGATTTCATACATTGTGAATTGAAAAAATAAAAAAAATATTCAAAAAAACACATTATCACAAATCAGTGACATACATTTGTGTACAGTAAAGAAGCTATGCAAGTGCCACACATCTATTGCTAAATTTACATACCAATGTCTCCAGCTTTGTAGCTGGCAATCGGTTCTTTAGCAGAAGCATTTAAAACATCATAAATTACAAGAGTATCACTGCCCAGGAGTACTAGATTCTCTACTTGAAAAAATACAGTTGCATTTGCGGTGATGTTAATACCACATGGTAAGGCTTGAGGCTTTGAAGGTTGTGTTATATTTCCACTGGCGTTAGCAATGATACTTGAACCACATTCATTAGCACTAGCTGGAAAATAATAGTATAATTAATTATACAAAAATATTTTTAAAAATTAGTGAACCACTATAAAGTTATATCCACTACTTTCCAATACAACGTTTAATTTTCCAAACATCTATTTTCCATTTTGACATTTAAATTTCTTTATATCGATTAGTTTCCAATATGATATTTAAATTTCTTAATAACCACTGCATTCTAATATAAAATTATGTTCACTACTAGCCAATACCACATTTAATACTTTTATTTAATATCCCAACTACCATATCTAGGATGATTAAATGAGAATCACTAGATCTATCATTACGCATTGGCCTTCTTAAAATTTATTAGTAATATTTAGCAAACTTTAAGATTTACCTTGTCCAGCCAAGAGGACACAGAGGGTGAAAACAAAGCAAATATGAGTCTCCATCAGAATGGTGGGGGTCAACAATGCTAAAAGAAAAAGTACATTTTTGAATATTTTGTTTTTTAATTTATAATACTTCTTTTTGCCTTTTGCTTGTTTATAATTTCATTTAAAATGTGGCATACATTTTATTTAGTAACATCTAAAGATAAAATAACCGAAGACAAAGAAAAAATGGGCAAGGGAGAAAAAAGTTGCTCCGTCCGAGAAAAAACCCCTGATGAAATCAGCCTTTAATCTTAGCAATAGGCTTATCAATGGCACACTTTTGACAAGAGCTGGTCACGTCAGAGGTCAATTAGCTGTGAGGGTCAGTTTCTTAATGATGAAAACAGGTTAATGTCCCTAGTTGCCCAGTTAAGGTACCCTGTAATGTTGCATCATGTGATGACCTAATATAGAAAATGCAGTCTCTTCTTCAACAAGCCTTTTTTTTAAAGTAAGATTATGATTTTATTTCATGGAAATATGTTTTTATGTTTATTTTCTAAACACGTTTATACAATAGAAGTGAACTTGAACTGTCAATATACAATAATTGAAAATTTACTATCCAAATATTTTAGAAACTCATGCACACTTTTATAACTATATTATATTAATTATTTAGTGCTAGTCTCATTTGAGTATATTTTTTTTTAGGATCATTGCACATTAATTCAAACTAATCTGGGAAAAATATGTTTCACCCATCAATTTTAATCTCCTTTTTAATCTTAATGCTAATATTGTCCCTTTTAATAAGAGAAATATGTTTTCATTGTCTTTTTAACTGATACACAACAAATATATAACATTAAGACTAGATCTTTGCATGATTTTGGAAAAAGAAAAAAATTCTTTTTTAAAATGAATGCATGAAATTATTATCTACCTTCAAATTATACTAAACTCCATAATATGAGCGATTATATATATGGCTAATTGCACACCCACTCCGCTTTTTTTCCCTGCCCTATGCCACTGATTGGAATTGTTCCAATGTGAAATATTATTTTACAGTTAGTATATATAAGAAAATAACATTAACTGAGACCCTTACTTAATTTTGATAATTAAGTACCTTATTAAAATTTAAAATACTAACTTAATTTAGGCCAGTAAGTGACAGTGTAGTTTGGTATAATAGTATTAGGCCTACATTATTAATTTTATATTACATAAAATATCGGCCGGTTAAAACTACTTTTTATATAGTATGCCTATGAACTAAGTGAGATAACAGTCTTATTTTGGTAAATTAACCTATAATTAATTTTAATAAACTATAATCTGATACCCAGTATTAATTTGATTTCATAATCAAATATTAAATCTATTTATAAAATAAAGATGTCCACGCCAAAAATATTCATTAATAAATCTTTTTCAATTGTAGAAGTAATTTTAATTGAAATATTTTTAATTGTCACATTTAAAAAATATTTTCCACCTGCACAAAATTTTAGGTTTATTCATACAGTAACGAAACTAATACCAACTTTTATGTAAGATTTGTAAAGATGGCGAAGCTAAAAAAAAGTATTTTCTTTTTTATTTCATTAATATAAAAAAAATGCAAGAGCCACTTCTGGCATACCTATTAAAAAAATGGCAGACTTTCTCTTTTCCATTTCTAGTAAGCCATTTTGGGCTAGAATATTGTTTTCCAGGGCAAGAATTTTAAATTGGATAAACTATAATGTATATGGGGTTGGAATCAATGCATATTTTTTTTTTTTTAAAAAGTATTTGCTGATTAAAGCTTTAAATCATTTTTGCTGTGTTACAATTAGTGAAAAATGAATAGCCTCGTTTCTATATTCAAATTGGCTTGCTCAGAAGAGAATCTACTGTAAGTCATTGATAATGAAATCCATCAATTTATAAACCGTTAAAACAAAAAGAGAAATCAATGGAGGTCACCGAAAATCCCAAGCCAGAAGCATGCCACAACAAACTACATAATTTTTCTTTATGTGCTAACGGTGTATGGTAAAGTATCAAAATATCTAGTTATACAAATATAATTTGTGTAAGTGTATTCTATTTTTTTCATTTAAAAATGATTTCAATGAAAATCAGAGCCAAAGTTAAGTAAATATTGATTATTTTTTTATATTTTAATAAAAAAGTATAATTTGTGACCATGTGTGACGAGGGTGTCCCAATTTATTTTGTTTTTAAATTGTGATAATAGGGGAGAGGTCCCACTAATGAGTTGGAGTGGGGATATGCCTATACTTAAAATAATATACTTTTCTAGACCTATAGGCCATAGGCCCTATATATGTATAAAGATACCAAAAACCCTGTATAAATTATCATATTTTGCTATGTGTGCAAAAACATCATGGGCAGCCATTCAGTCTCTTGCTAATATCACCTTAGTATTTTTCTCATAGTTTCATTCATAAAAGAATTAATGTGCCATGTGCAAACACCATTTGTCAGAGAAAGCTTTAATTAATTAGTCATGTGCAAAAGTCGAAAGTACAAAATAAATAGTCTCAAACCAGTATTATTTTTAAGGGACGCCTTGCCTTGCAATGCTTTATATAGACAATATAATATATAATTGATGCTAGACGCATTAAATAGAACATCCATATCGTATTTAATGTAATAATGCATAATATAAAGCAAGATAAATTATAATATATATAAGAATGAACTATGCTGACTGTAACGCCAAACATTTAAAAACATTCGGATTCTAAAAAATGATCATAGTTATTTTCTATTATTTTACAGAAATCAAATTTAAATGCGAAAAAAATATTACATATCCACTTTTATTTTAGTAAAAGTTTAAGTCTTATTATTATAAATTACAAATACGTTTAAAGTATCAACTAAGGAACTATTTTAAGAATGTTATGTGTGTTTGAAAGTTATGAAAAAATGAAAAAAAATTAAAAAATTATGATCAAAGAATTACACCATAATCACATTTATCTGGAAAACCCAAACATCAGTTAAAATTAAAATTATTTTGTTTTAAATAATAATGCAAATGACATCATAGGGTAAATTGCCTATTTAGCCAATTTGACAAAATTGATAACGTATTTCCCCCTTCTTAAAAGTAAAATTAATCAATTTGATCGTTTGCTTTTTGAATTGCTAAAATTTGCTAAAATTAAATACAAATTTAGCTTTGTATTTTTAACATTTAATAAGTTTTTACTTTTTATTCATTCCAAAACAATACTTTTATGAAATTTATAAATTAGTAAAAACTTTACCTTTAAATAAACTTTTAATAAGATAATGCCGTTTAATTCAATCACTTCGCTTTACTTTAATAGATATGAGGTCAGGGTGGCAGACAAAACCCTTACCGATGGCTAAAACTACACAGTCCTGAGAAAGCCGCTCCTAGGCGACCGTTTCGTCCCACCTCCGTCCCAACCAAAGGACTCCCTGGACCAAGGGAGTGGTTACGCAACACCTTCCCCCGGAGAGGAAGCAAAGCCGCTCTGACCCGCGGAGAGTGGACTGCAAACACTTTAGACGCAGCATTTTGGGTCGACCGGACGGTCTGGCAGTCAGGTATGCCGGGCCGTGTTGGGGGTGGCCGGGGGGGGGGGGGGTATTAAGATCCACCGACGCCATCTCCAAATGTGATGATGTAATTCAATCAGTGCAGTAAAACTACACAGCCAAATTTCAATCACTAATGCACTTATCACTCATTTAAAAAAGAACAAAGCATATGAAATACAAAAAAAATTGTTTTTGCTTAAGTAAGGCGGTTACAATCCCGCGGATAATTTTATTAATTTTTCTTAATTTCGTTTGTGTGTGCGTGCATGTGTGTGTGTGTAAAACGATACTTTCATTTTGCCCAAGGCAGCACAAGATACGGCTCAGAATGAATTTGATAATTAATTAACCTTCTTAGGTACATATATATCGGGGATAGGAAATAGGGTGTGTAAATTTTTACGTGGATGACAATATCTTTAAATTTTTAAAAATGAACATATGTTTACCAATTAAGAATATCAATGACATTAACAAAACGTAAGTACATTTACATAATTATACCCATGAATATCAAAACACAATCATTTTGCTCAAGTGAAAATTTAATTTTCAAAATAGAAGTGGGTTAAGATTTTCTTAGATAGATAGATGATCGTCAGACAGACAGATAGACTGACAGACATACCAACATACTCACAGATAGACAGACCTACCAACAGACAGACCGATCGGCCAACAGACTTACTAACAGATTGATAGAACACTTCCTTGAATAGTTGCGCAAAAGGTATCTTTTATTCTGAAAACTTTATCTATAAATTATATTTAAAATTAATTATGTATGTATGTCCTGTATGCGCTCCTATACTATTCATCCGATTGTGATAAAACTTTTGCAAGTTGTTTTTCACACGCCCGCAAATTTTTCTGAATTATTATAAACATTTTACAATATTTCATTTCGGGCCTGGGGCCCTAAATTCCTTTTTTTTCCTTTCATGAGCTAAATATGATTTCCGTATGCGTTCCTATACATTCATCCAATTATAATAAACCTTTGGTAAGTTGTTGTGGGTAAGCCTGCAAAGGTTTCTGAATTAGGTTATCCATTTTGAAATATTCCTTTTGGGGCCGGGAGCCCTAAATTATTTTTTTCTTATAGGCTAAAGGAGCTATATAAATATAATTTCAAACAGAGCTATTGCATGGATGGATGAAATTTAATCTAATAAAAAAGCGACATTTCAGTTTGTGTGTGACATACTAAGTAGGTTTCTGAATTGGTACAACCATTTTCAATTTTGATTTTGGGGCTGGGGGGGCCTTAATTTTTTATATATTTTTTTATCATGTGAGCTATATAAATATAATTTCAATCAGAGCACTGCATGGGTGGATCAATTGCTACAAGCTTTAATTGTGTACGCACCAGACAGAAAAAAAAAATATTTTCTATTTAAAAATTACTTCAAGAACATAATTATAGCACAATTTTTTTTCTTTGAGTGGCTTTGCAACGCATGACGGGTTCTCACTAGTTTATTTATAATTACATATTGTTATAATAATTTTAAAATTAGAACTTTCAATATTTAGATTAATCCTGAAATACAGTTTGCATTAAATTATCATTAAAACAAGAGTTATTGCACATAATGCGATCAGGGGAATGGGGTCACAAGATGTGAAAGTGGAGGTGCAGTTCATAGTAAAAAATACCAAACAGTACTGGTACTTTAAAAATTCATAGCTCAAAAAGTACTTTTAAGCTATAAAGTTGATTCTCGTTTAATTTTTAAATTTGAAATTTGCTCTATAAAACTGCAATATTTGTTTTTTTTGTGTTTTTTTTTCACCTAAGCACCTAATTTTAATCAGTACTGATGTAGCCATTGCCTTAAACTAAGCCTATTATGCCAGGTACTAAAAAGAAGAAGCCAAGTTTTTAATTTCTTGGTGGATTGGTGCTTTCCATTAATAAAAGTGCTATTTTGTCACAAAATTGTGGTATTCTTCCCCATGTTCACAATAGGGGACATCTTGACCTACATTCCAACATACTGTGTATATAAGGCATCTTTCCTTCAATTTTTTAAATGAAATGTTTAAAAATGTCTTTCATATTAAATTGTGAAAAGCATTATTGCCATTATATATTGATCTATATGTATGCCAATTCTCATTGATGAAGTTGGTGTCCGACGCTTGTTACGCTTTTCCCCAGAACCAGCATTACCATAAGGTCGCTGAGTCTAATTTCGACATGGCGTGGGCGATGCCCCCTTTTTAATGGTGAAAGAAGCTGACAACTTAGAAAATATTTAATTATTACCACTATTTACAGCAAAATAATTGATAACTTATGTCAACATTACAAATGATCATAATTTGCTGTGTGCAAAATGTCATGCCCATGTGCAAAATGTCATGGCCATGGCATGGGTTGCCATTCACAGTCACTTGCATAATGGTTATACCGTACTATCTCAGAGTTTTCATTCATAAAAGTTTACTTTGTGTAAAAACTATTAAACCATTCGTCAGGGAAAGCTTAAATTAACTAGTCATGAGCCAAAGTTGAAAGTTCAAAATAAGTAGTCCCCAAACATTATTTTAGTAACATTAAGTCATTAAGGGGATGCCCTGTCTTATATAGACTATATAGCATACACTGGTATAATAGACGCCGTAGATTTGGTAAACATAAAAGCCATATATTAATACATTAAATTAAATTTACTGATATCTCTATAATTGTATAACATTATTAAAATTATTTGTTGATACAGCATTAGTTCTGAAAATAAAAGTCATATGAAATTGTTTCTATAGTATAGTATTTACTATCCTAGTGTCTCATTTTTTATTTTACTTAGTTTACATGTTCTTAATAATTGTAAAGCGCTTAGAGCTTTAAGGTAAGCGCTATTTAAAAAATGCCTAAATAAATAAATAAATGATCATTAAAATGAGAGTTATATAGCTCGTGATGCGAACAGTGGAATGGGTCACAGAATGTCGAGATGTGGTCCATGTTAAAAAAAAAAGGACAAACAAATTCGTACTTGAAAATTCTTAACTTTAAAACTACAACAGCTAAAAATATGATCTTGGTGTTATAATTCTATTTTTTTTAAATTAGCCATATTAAACTATGCCATTGGCTTATTATTTTTACAAAAAAATTGGCTAATTTGGAGTGATAGCACCCTGACGTCATTTGATTGTTTTGTCCCTGGTTCTGATAGGGTCAAAACTCTGGTTCAGATAGGGTCAAAAACCCATGCTAGAGATGTGTTTTGGGTTCAGGTTAGGTTTAGGGATAGATTTAGGGTTCAGGTTAGGTTAGGGATACATTTAGGACATAAGTTCATGGGTCACTGCAACCAATGTTCCCTCTAAAGTTTGTTGGTTCGTGTGCAAAATCATATAGTTGTGTGCATCAATTTTTTTTTTTTTGCAAAATTTTGCAGCTCACAAACAAACACTTACATGTAAATTTGCTGCGAGCAGTGTCTGTGACATAGCTGCGCGGCCGCGCAGCTTATAGGGAACATTGGCTGCAACCAAGATGGCGGCCAAGGTGCTATCTCTCCAAATTTACAAAAATATTTACATTTTTTATGAAAGTGCCTACTAAGGCTAAGGCCCTACTAAGCAATTCATGAAAAAAATTATTATAGGCAAATTAATAAATATTAAACTATCTATCGTATATAAAATGGGAGGGATCATCAAACTTGTTTTTATTAGTGAATATTAAGAATGTCATTAGGTCTCTGGTAAACAAGTATGCCTTAAACTTGAAATTGAAAGAAGTAAAAGGAAGCGGATACGGACTCTACGCATCTCCACTTACAACTTGCAAGGCAAGGCCGTCCTGAATCTGCGCTACTGAGATTAAGCCAAAAACACTTCGATGATTCCAAATAGCGAATATGATCAAATAATACTTAGCATACAGCTGTATTCATCTTAATCGATTTACCTTTGAGGCCCTGGCTTGCTTGCTAAACCTTTTTTTTTAATTTTGTTAAATCTATATTCGGTTACAGACTTGTCACGAGCCTACACTTCTTTCGTTTCCAAGAACAAAACTGTTATCAGTACGAAAAACGAAACTCATACTAAATACCCGCCGATTAACATAAAAACAGACACAATCTTTGGTTCTTTTTTTTTTTTTTTTTTTCAGCTGTTCATTTATGTAGGCTATTTAAAAGTGTATTTTTAAGCAAAATATAACAAGGATGTCTCCAAATGCTCCTTAATGCTTAGTTTTTTTTTTTTTTTTTTTTTTTTTTTTTTTTTTTTTTTTTCAGCTGTTCATTTATGTAGGCTATTTAAAAGTGTATTTTTAAGCAAAATATAACAAGGATGTCTCCATATGCTCCTTAATGCTTAGTTATAATGCACTTAATTATGGTTTTGCCTTATTTAGCAAGGCAAGTTCGTATTTATTGCTATAGGTGGAGAAATTATTATCTCCAAAAAGGTTTATTTCATTTGTTTCTTCCCAGAGACCGAGAAAACTACATTGTGATCTGAGTACAGCTTTTAATTTAAAATTCTTCTGAAGAGGGTATTAAGCCGAAACGTCCATTCAATTTTTTTTTTTTTTTTTTTTTGTCAATGTATCAATACCATCCCTGTGGCCTACCTCACAACTTTCTTCTACTCAGACCTAACTAATGATTTTCTTTTCCATGCTTGGATGGATTCCCAGCTGCTCTGAATCTTTTTTCCACATCACCCATTCATATAAGACAAGGTCTGCCTTTGAGCTGTTTTCCTCTGGGATTTTGGTGATGTACCCTCATCACTCCTCTGTCATTAGGCATTCCTTCTAAGTGTTATACCCAGCGAAGCCTATACTTTTTTATTTCTGTGTAGGATCCTGATATAGACTATACAAGCCTTTGTTGTTGTTTTTTCGTATTCTCCAACCATATTCATCATTTGTTGGTGCAGCTTTTCTGTCGTTTTTGTTAGGGTCCAAGTTTCACTTGCGTGTGTTACAACTGGTCTGATTATAGTTTAATAAATAGTTTTTCTTGTTTGTGTGTAATGTTTTTACATTTTAGTATTTTCTGAATAATGCAGTATGCCCTGTTTCCAGCTGATATTCTTTATTTTTTCCTCTGTTAGTAATTCGTTTCTTCCATTAAATAAAGATCATATGTATTTGAATTGATTTACTAATTCAAAAGTGTGGTTTTTAAATTTAATATTTTTACCTGTCCGTTTTTCTCTTATCATAGTCATCAGTCATGTTTGTTGTTTGTTTTTTTTCGTTGTTAACTCCCAGCCCTGCTTGTAGTGAAGCGTCTTCTAATTCAATAAAGAGGCTTTTGATATGTCTTTACAACGTTTCCCAACAGTGCTATGTCATCAGCAAAAAAATCAGGATGTAGCCTAAAAAATACTGAAGGGTTTGATTGTAGAGAGTGCCTATTGGTTGTGGGTCTTAGTTCTCCCTCTAGTGTTAGGTTAATTAGCATACAATACAGTGAGTCTCATTGTCTTAGGCCTCGTCTTTGCTGAAATCCCCTTGAATATTCACCCTGAACCTTTATTTTGCTTTTTGAGTTGTTAAATGTTACATGTATCATTCTTGTGAGTTTGTTGGGTGTGCCAAACTCCTGCAGAGTCTCATATGGATATTTTCTTTTGATGCTATCAAGGCTAAATAAATATTGTTCCACTTTTTATGTACTTCACACGGCTTGAACGCAGTCACCTCTTATATTGTTCAATGTGATATTAGAAATGTAAAAAGTAGGCCTAAAATTTTGCTATCAAACAGAAGTAAACATTTTCATAATTCTACTTAAATAAATGTCCGCTATGTTGGTTTTTTTTTCTTTTTTTTCTCTATTTTTGCGTTGTTTGTTTTTAGAAAGTATGCCTGGATTGTAGTTTAAAATGCCTAGGACTTCCATTATCAACGCCACACCACCACAATCAGAGAGAGAGCGAGAGATGATTGTTATATAATATTAAAATTTATAATTTGTTTTTATATTCTAATGCTTGGGCTCTCGCACCTCCTGGTGGTGCGGGAGGCAGTGTATGTGGGTGCGGGAAGACCCAATAGTATTTCTTTTTTTACTAATCAAGACTATCTTTCTACTCACCTTTTCTTCTTGTGAATCGTAATTTTTTTTTTACACTCGTGACTATCGCTCTGTAGATCGTTTGTCTCGTGCAATGATCACGTGGTGAACAGCGGGAGAAAGATGTGTAGGGGAGGTCAAATGAGAGCTGTAGGATTTTGGGGAGGAGTTTTTCAAAAAAGGGTTAGGGACAGAGTATACGACAATTAGACTCGGGCTGCGGTATGCTGGGTCGATGGAGGAGGGTCGGTGATGAGTGATGGGAAAATCACGCGTTTCCCACTTGATATGGTTTACCTGAGTGGTTGATACAGAATGTGTGTTGTGATGACTTTAGGAATGTGGATAATATATTTCGTATCTAATAACAACTAACGGCGAAGAATCTGGAATAAAAACATTGTAGATAAGATAGCACTGACTGAAAGAATCTTAACCTTTAATACGGGGGCCTCGTCAAGAGATTAACAATAGGCCTGCTATTGAGACATTTCTCTTCATGATTCTGTGAAGATCTTGCAGCGATACTTCGAACAAGGACTATTTCAAGAAAGCCAACGTGGATTCCTTACGGAACGGTTAGGCTACATCTGAAATGATATTTGCTGCACATCAATTGCAGGGAGAATGCCAAGAGCAACACGGTAAACTTTTCATCCATTTTGTCGACCTAACGGTTCTGACCAACGCATATATTGAGATGGCCTGTGGAGAATCTACGCTGTCCTGAAGATTATCCCAATAGAACGACGCTATGATGTCCAGTGCTTTGTATGCTGGAAATGAATCTGAACCATTTCACATAATTATAATGTCGTTAAACAAGGCTGCTTCCTCATCCCGGCCATTTTCAGCGTTGTATTGTCAGCCATGCTAACTGAAGCTTTTCTTGGCAACAATGATGGCATTCCTGTAAGATGCAGGACAGACGGAGGGCTTTTATAACTTAGGAGATTGTAAGAAAGTCACTGTACAAGTTTAAAAAAAATTGTAATAAGACACTTCATATTCGCTGGCCATGTGTCGCATCATGATACTTAAAATACGTGTCATTCATCATGATTCACATGGACGAGCTCTCCAGACACACATAGTCATCTGTAGACCGATTATAGCCCATATCTTCACTTGCAAGTGACGAAACACAAATATCAAGTTCCAGTCAGGAGACTCAGTGTACTGTTCTTCTTGCGGCACAAGTGTTAATGGTACGCTGCCTCCCACGGACTACCAATTTGAGAAGCACTAACATGATTGATTTATTAATACATTTTGTGAGCTAATTAATGAGCATCCATTTGAGAAATCCTGTTGTAAATCGTTTAAAAAATGGAAACAAGTCGATAAAGTTGTACATAATTGTTAAATTGCTATGTCTAATCCAGGGGTCTCAAACTCAAATCATCCGGGGGGGGGGGGCGCATGAATTAGAATCTGAGTGAGATTGGGCTGCACCAAGTATTAAAAAAAATATCGATTACAAATTCAATAAAGTACAACTGCTACAATCTGCTCAACCTTTATTAATAGCAAAAACGTTAAGGGTTCCCAAAAACTAGAATTCACTCTCTTCCTCCAACTTCTTGTTGCAGAGACTTGGCGGAGCTTTTTCTTACACAGCTGAGCAACATTTGGCTAGAGTGAGGAAGCAACTGAGACACTCAGTATACCTTGAAAATGTTCATCAGTACGTCTGGCCCTGAACTTTGACTTGTTAAAGTTCATGGTGGAAAAGAGCTATTCACACTCATAAGGTACCCCCCCCCCCAAAAAAAAAAAAAAAAAAAAAAAAAACACAAAAAAAAAANTGGCCGAAACCGAAAAAAGGCCGAAAGTTTAAAAATGACTTTCGGCCGAAACCGAAAAAAGGCCGAAAGTTAAAAATGAATTTCGGCCGAAACCGAAGCCGAAAATGAAATATTAAGATATTTTGAAATTCGTTCCCGCCTTACATTCTGCATACATCGAAAATGATGTGGGATGGTTTAAATATTTACATTCTTTTTATAAAAATAAGATAATCGTAAATAAACATCTAATATAGTGGTCACAAACTCGCGGCCCGCGAGCCACTTGTGACCCGCATGACGATATTTTGCGGCCCGCTACATGACAGAAAAGTTTAGTGTAAATGCGCCGACCCGTTTCCCCCATTCTCATATCTATAACGTGACTCTCCGCGACGATATAAGTCGAATCTCACCGACTAGTCTAATTCTGATTTTTTTTTTTTAATGTTTCTAACTATTTTTGTATGCCAGGTCTCTGGCAACAGTGAGTATTTCTTTAGAACCCTTAATGATTTTATTGTTATTTATAAAGGTTGAGCAGATTGTAAAAAGTGTAATCGCTTTTTTGTGGATTGCTTGATGCGGCCCGCTTTCATTCAGACACCACCTCCTGCGCCCCCCCCCCCCCCCCCCCCCTGCCCCCCCCCCCCCCCCAACCATGATTTGAGTTTCAGACCCTTGATATAATGAATACTTTGGATTTTACCATTTTATTATAAAAGTAATTTAAATTGCTTTACCATTTTTTAAAAATTAGTATGGTAGGAGAAAATTTGGCAAAAATTGGGGAGTGGGGGAGGAGGGGAAATTAATGAAACTATTATTTTTTTAAACAGGGTCTCTAAAAAATGTGGTACTAAAAGATCGCTTAATTTGTTTCTAAAGATCGTTTAGTTGGTTGTTATTGATCGGTTAGTTTGTTCTTAAAGATCGGATAGTTTGTTCATAAAGATCGCTTAGTTTGTTGTTAGAGATCGTCTAGTTTGTTCTTAAAGATCGTTTAGTTTGTTGTCAAAGATCGTTTAGTTTGTTGTTAAAGATTGTTTAGTTTGTTGTTAAAGATCGCTTAGTTTGTTGTCAAAGATCGTTTAGTTTGTTGTTAAAGATTGTTTAGTTTGTTGTTAAAGATCGCTTAGTTTGTTGTTAAAGATCACTTAGTTTGTTGTTAAAGATCACTTAGTTTGTTGTTAGAGATCGTTTAGTTTGTTGTTAAAGATAGCTTAGTTTATTCTTATAAATCACTTAGTTTACTATTAAAGATCATTTGTTTTGTTCTTAACGATCATTTAGATCGGTCTTAAAAATCGTTTAGTTTGTTCTTTAAGATCGTTCAGTTTGATATTAAAGATCGCTTAGTTTGTTTTAAAGATCGTTTAGTTTGTTCTTAAATGTCCCTTAGATTGTTGTCAAATATCGTTTAGTTTGTTCTCAAAGATCGCTTAATTTGTTCTTAAATGTCGCTTAGTTTGTTGTTAAATATCGCTTTCGCTGAGTATTAAATGACCGAAAACCTGAGTCACTTTCGGCCGGATGGCCGAAAGTCTAAGTCAATTTCGGCCGAAACCGAAGAAAAATCGAAAGTTAACTTTTCTCTTTCGGCCGAAACCGAAATTAAGCCGAAAGTTAACTTTTCAGTTTCGGCCGAAACCGAAACTTGGCCGAAAGTGATAAAATGGCCACTTTCGGCGCCGAAACCGAAGCCGAAATTCGGTTGGCCTCTAGGTGGAGGACACTGCTCTCATAAATTGTCAATGCTTGTCTGTTTTTCCATTCATCACCCTGAATTTAGCCTTGAGTTCAGAATTGCACTGACGATCAATCAGCTCCATTTCAAGCGTAAAAAGAGGGATTGGGAGGGACATCTTTTACATTAATGAGAAAGGGTCAGCAACAAGTTGAAAAGTGACTCTTTGTGTTTTGAAGTCTAAAAACATGTGATCAAATTATTCCTGTAGCTTTGCAATGGCATCAGTACACTTACTACCGAATGGTATGCTCGAGTCCATGAGTACTTTGCATGTTGGTAAATGGCAGTGGTTTCTCTAAGAACCGTAACACAAGTTTTATGCAGAATGTCCTGACATTGTGATAAAGGCAACACTGACAAGCTACCCCTGGTCTTGTAACTTGTTGAGTACATTCAGCTCCTGTGTAATGTCAACAAGAAAAGCCAAGTCCATGAGCCATTTGGGACAACCACCCCATCCTTCTCCATGAAGGCTTATAATGCTAAAACGTGTTTAAACAGTAAGTCAGGTGCAGGCAATATTTATGTATTACTGATGCGAAGGAAGTTGCTATTGTAGGTAGAATAAATTTTGATTTTTTATCGTAGTTAAGGACTTTTTTACTAAATTTATTTCAAAAGCTGCCAAGCTGAAAGCCTCGGAATTTCCCTCACTCGTAAACACTAGCGACAACATTGATAGGGATTCTTTGATACTGTGTCAGGTTGCTACGATTTACACATTTATTGTTGTGCATTATATACTACCTGCATTTTAAAACGTTTCTCAAAACCGCACTTTGGCCATGTTTGCCTCATAAAATTCTTTAAAATAAAACTTTAATAAGTCCCATTTTAAAACGGTTTTTACCCTTATAATCAACGTCCAAACCTATACAAAGATACTAAAATCAGAAATAGACTAGTCGGAGAGATTCGAATGAAACCGTCGCGAAGGGTCACGTTGTAGATATGAGAATTGTGGAAGATGAGCGGGCTGCATTAACACTAAACTTTTCTGTCATGTAGCAGGCCGCAAAATATTGTCTTGCGGGCCGCAAATGGCCAGCGGGCCGCGAGTTTGAGACCCCTGGTCTAATCCAATTGGAATTAATGTTGCCTTAAGCTAGACGTCAATTTGTAGTCATATAAGTAGCCTATGAGTATAATGGGGTATCATTTACATAGCCGTTACTTTTATTTCTTATATCTAATATGTATTGCCTTAGCATAAATCGATCTCATAATCTTTTGACTGTTTTATTTTAAAACTGGTCCCCATTGTTGTTACTTCATTTTTTTTTCTTCAAAATCGTGAGCTCTGTTACTGACATTTTTTAAGTCTCCATTAGGATACACCTTCTCATGTCGTCAACCATTCATTCATGCTTTGATTCTACTTCAATTGGTGCAATCATTAAAAGATGACGTTCCCAAGAATTTCTCCATCCAGAAAAGAATCCCCTTCATTAGTCAAGTTTTGCTTCTCAAAATCAATGCATAAAAAAGAATGTTCTCCTGTTGCAACCTCAGGGAAAGGTCACTTACAGCTTTCAAAACTTACTCTTTGAAAGCACTGATAGACATTAAATATATCTTGTAAATTTCTAGTCTTCAGAAAATACCATATATTTTAATGTTATCAGCATGGCTCTGTTAACTAAATATATATATCCCATCACTTCAGTAGTTACATGCACATGAAGCAGTTAAAATTATCATTCCAACACATAAGTGTTTCTGACCTTTGAATGAGCCAACATTAAATTTCCAAAACTATTACACAGGGACTGATGGAGTAATAATAAACTTGTCTGAACTGCTGACACATATATATATATTTTAATATATAAATATTGATATTTCAAAGACATGGAGATAATTTCAAGCCAACAAACTAGCAAGTTTTAATTATTTAAGATATCAGCAACAACTATAACTATGCAATGAAATATTTTCACAAATTAACAATGACGAAAATAAATAATGTGCAAATTAGTATATTATTATTATTATTATTATTATTATATTATTATTTACAAAAAAACATTTTAAAACGTGGGACTTTCTTTAATGATTTTTCAGAAAACAAGTAAATCTAAAACATAAACTCATGTTTAATCATGTAGGTTATATTTTGAATTAATTGCCTGGCTTCTTTAATAAAATCATGAAAAAAGAAAACAAAAGAAAAAAATGTTTGAAGTATAATATGGAAAAACATAGAAAGTGCAAGGACCAGGTAAATAAACTTATTGAAAGTTGAAAATATTGTGTTCCACTATTAATTTATTTTTAAAGAACACATTAAAAAAATAAACCAAATAAAACTGTTAGCAAAAATGAAACAACACTTGGTTTTGTGAGGAAAGCTTTGCGGCGTATCACATTTATTTTATTAAACAGATGTTTCACGCAGAGTATGGTGCATACTTATACAAACATGTAACTTCATTTTTCATTACACAGGATACTATTTGTAATGTAAAAGTTGCTTTCTATGGTGATGTTTAAATGTAAAAATTTATATTGACAAAACTTGTAATTTTCACACAAATAACCGTTAAATATAAATAATGTGAAATGGCCTGAAAAACTATATAAAATGTAGGTGTACTGCTAGTACAAGGGGAATAATTATTCATGAAGTAATTTCCTTACTGATTTTCCCCAAAAAATATTGGTACAAGTGTAACTTAGAAATACAAGTTGCCGAAGCTCTATGATAAATATACTAGATTGCATCGTGATATAACTTAATACAGTGCATTTCCTCATAGTATTGTCAAATAATGATTCACACTTTAATCCAACTAATTATACTCTCAATAACTGTATAATGAAAGTGAAAACAATCAGATCTCTATAGTGAGATATTTAACAAGGAAAAAAAGGTATGGATAGATCATATTTCCTAAAAGCAAAATAAAATATCCTTAACCTTAATTATTATTCCATTATCTGGCTTGCTGGTAATTTTGAATACTGGGTACACTTTGTTAAAACATAGACATATATTAATGGTGCAGACTTGAAATACTTGAACTTAGTGTTTTGAATCATAGTACATGAGTTTTCTTACATAAAAAAATCAACATGATATGTGGCTCAATTTCTGATTAATGAAAAAGAAATAAAAGAATTATCTGACCTAGAAAATCCTACGTGTAGTTCCCACCACCTGGTATAACATTATTATTAGAGTTTGCTGAAAACTATTGCTTGTAATTGGATTATTAGGAGGAAAAACAACTGTGGTGCAGTTTCTTAGTATTTTAATCATCTATTGCACCTGAACTCTCTGACAGCTGCTCATGATCACAGTGGATAAAGTTCAGAATATTGTGGAAGATTAATATTTTAAAAAGTATTGACGCCTTTTTTTTTTATTATGTCTGATAAAAATATATATCATTTGATGAAAAGTTATTTAAAAGAAACACTATTGGATGTAGTCAATAAATTATTGGATATCTAGTATTTTACATTCCCTGTAAGATCCAGTTCTGTATAATCTAAACATATATAATGTATAATTTCTTCTAATTTTATATGATTTGTGCACAATTGTCAACTTTTAAGAATTTTATCGCTTCCTGTCTCGTACTGCATGGAAAATGTAGCCTTTCATTGATATAATGCCCCTACACTTTAAAATTCCAGAATATCTGACAACCCACTGTGGTGCCCAGGACTCACTATCACTCTCTGTAGACACACTCAAGACAGTCTCTTTCAACTTTTCTTTGGGAACGAAGACTGAAAAGCAAAAGTATCTAGCATTTAGTTTTAATGACCAAATAAATCCATTCTTTACTCAATATTTTAAAAATTATCAAAACTAACAAAGCATAAATGGCAAATAATAATCTTCAGCTTAAAACAAAATTTAAAACCAAAATTAATTGTTTTAAATAATAATTAGGAAAGATGGAGTAACTAAATGTAGAGAATCATTTATGTAATCACTTACAAAATTTTATTGAAAAAAAAACAAAAAAACATGTATAGTTCCTATTGTTATAAATTATTAAATTGTCCATTGACGTAGTTATGAGATTCAACTTCCATTTTATTTCTTTAAAAAATGTTGCAATATACATCATAAGAAGGTGGGATAAAACCTACATTTTTTATTATTTTGACTTAAACTTAAATATTTAAAAAAAAAACCTACCTGGTCTGTCATTGTGAGTCAACAGCTGAACATTAATAGACTTAGCATACTCTGTAAGATCTTTAGGCATGACACAACATGATTCCAAATTGACTTGGTCAATACTTGGTTTCACCTGCAACATATGAAAATATGTAATCTTCAATTTTCTTAGTTTATAATTGTTTGTAAAGAAAAAAAACTGTGTAAGAGGTTATCATTCCATTAAGAATTTGCTATTAAAAGTATGGAGACAGAAGCATTTCAAATACACAAGTAATTTTGTTTAAGAGGGGGAGGGGGGGGGGAACGACGACACGGTGGCAAAGTTTTAAAACTAACACCAACATTGTTTTTCTGCAACATCTAACACTGACTAAAAGATATTTGAACAAAATATAGATTATTAGATTTTTGAGGAAGAAAATAACCAAGAAGTGTACCGGTACTCTAAACTAAAATACATTTTTCCTGAATGAGTACCTTAGCCCAATTGTAAAGGTCCTCAAATGCCTCTTTGTTGAGATCACAGACGCCAAGAGAGAGAACTTTATCTTCAGCAACTAACTGCTCCATAGCTTCCCAATATGGTTGAATGATTTTCAAGGAGAGCTAAGCCACATAGAATATAGAGTGCTGTTGGCAATACAGTTTTATTTAACTTGATGAAATCAATGTAAAATTAAAATTCAGTTTTTCAGACAAAAATCTTTAAAGAAGCAGGAATAATTTCCAAGTAAAGTGATAATTAAATGCAATAATTTTACTTCAGCCACTGAAAGAATATAAAACCAAATATTTTTTGTACCGTAATAAAAAATGTTTTTTTTTAAAACGTACACCAGAGTCTTGGGGTTCATCTTCATCTTCACTGACAGGTGCAACAGACAACAGGAGTGTCTCCACAAAGTTTGTTCCCAGTTCATTCAAAACTGAAAATAATTAGGAGTGTCAATCCTGTCATGTGCCTAAAGTCATATGTACATTGAAATCCCTAACAGATTTGAAAGTGGCTATTACACCAGCATGTATAAAATTTAAAAAAAGTTTTGGAAATACTGACAATGTCAGACAATTTAAAATAGATTTTTTAAATTGAGAAAGATATATTGAACTTTCTTGACATTGATTGGCAAGCCCATAATGAAACTTCATTCAATCTAAATAATGAACTTTCTTTGTCATGCATTGACTAGCTTGCCTCAAATTTAAAAAAAACAACCTAAAACTTACAATCATAAGAAATTCAGATGCTCCGAAGCCTATAAAAAGTTTTAAATTGCAATTCAAAACCCTGCTGTAATCTTGAAAATAAGTTACCTTTATTTACAGTGTCTTTAATCACAGTTGTAGGTTGGGGTGTGCATATAAACACCTTGACTGGTTAGAGATACAAAATTAATATACCAGAATGATTAATAGTCAAAATCACATTGGATATATTCAAAGACTAAATATATGTTTCATTGAATAATTTTTTATTTCTCATGGAAATAAAAGACTGCGCAAGATAGATTTTTAAAATTGTTTTTAAAATAGCAAACTGTTGCCTTCAGTCTACAAGCTAATTGAAACTTTAAAAAAAGTGCGCTGCAAATATACAAATGCAGACTCAGTTTACTGAACAAGAAAGAAAACAAAAAATATTTCTGGTATTTAAGTTCTTAATTAAAAACAATTAATTAATTTTTCTCAAGATTTTTCCGTGAATTTTTTTTAAAAAATCAGTTAAAGAAATATAAAGATTTCAAAGACTTATGCTCAGCTAGTAAGGTAAACATTTTGCTAATAACCAGTTATTTTGACTTCGCCTCGATCATTTTCATCAAGAACTTGAATATTTTCAGTGTTGACCTTGCGTAACTCTGTGAGGTACTGCAAATCTGTTTTGTTAGCAGACTCCAGGTAAGCTCCTAGGGTTGTCCCAATGCATTCACAAACCTGTAAAGGCAAGGGATTTGAGTTTTACTCCTTTTCTCGCCAAGGAAACTTAAGTTTTCCATCACGAAATAAATGTATAATTTCCAATTCATGTTATTTTTCAATGTGTATCATTATTAGTATTAGGGAGTCAATATAATTCAAAATGCTTCTTGAATAACTGATACAAATTTTCTTGAGGTTGCAAAATGCTAAAATTAATTTAACACAGCCTAACAAAGCACTCATTTACCTTTGTTAGCCATCAATTTTATAAATGTGAGTTATAATAAAATCGTCAGCATTTCAAATGATTTCTTCGGATTGGGGTATTACCGATGTTTTCTCAGAAAATCTAAAGCAGGCAACTCTAGTTCAACTAATTGAAATTAAAGTTAAAATGAAATGCTTTTAACAGTGCATATATACAATGTGTGTAATAATTCATGAGATTTTGTATAACAATGCATCTCTGGGATTCACTGGCCACTAGCAAATTCTGTGCTTAAATGGGCGGCCACCACTTGGTACTAAACAAAATCAAACACTGAAACTATGTCACTAAGTTGCAGTTGGCTGCTAGAGAAAGGACAGGGTGGAGTTTCAGAAAGCTTTAGAAATAGATGTTTGAAAAGCTCAGATAGATCATTATAGATAATGATAGTAAAATTCATAATTTGTTAAATTTTAAATCTTCTTCTGGCTGGCCAGGCACTGAGAGGCAGATCACCAGGTAGTGAGTAACAGGTCAGAATGCACCAGGGTTCTAAAGAGCCTCTGACTATGTAGTATAGCATATAATAATAATAATAAGTGGTATTATATTGCGCAGTACCCCGGGCTAGGCTCACCGTGCTGTACATAAAAATATTATAAAAAGAGACTTGATCATGACATAGGCTATAGACAGGGTAACTCCAATTTGTATAGTCTATGGTATAGTTTTGTATAGTAGCCTATCTATGTCTATTTTATTACCTTTAAAAACTAACTTAAAACTTGTCAGTCTTAACTTATTTTTAAAAAGTAATTATTAACTACTCTTTTTTAAATGTGTGTCTAATTGGCTCATTTATTTCAGATATTGGCTTATTTATATTTTGTATTTATTTAAATTAAATTAATTTATTGGATAAATTGATTTCAAGAATGCATCTTTTCATTGTGACTCAGCAGAATTTTAGGCAAAGCAACTGCAACCCTATAATATAATATAATATAATATAATTTATAATTCTTATATTTATATCATTTATATTTAATTCTTTTGGATCGACTATGTCTATGTCTATTTTTTGGATGTGTGTTTTTGTTTCATTGATATATTGCCAAGTGGCCACGATAATAAATTACAGTATGTTTTAGTGTTGTTATTTTAACAATAAAAATGTTATGTCATGTTGTTAATGAAAATCCATTATTATAGTATTTAGTATAGTCTATACCTACATAATATATATAGATTTAATTCTTCTAAACCCACAAGTGTTTATTATTATGTACCGGTATATCAAGACCCATTCAATTCAAATAGACTAAAAAAAATTATAAGGAAAAATATTCTGATTTTAATTTTGTCTGTTGTTATTCAACTCACATATTTAATTACATTTAATTACCTCATCGGTTGAATTCTGATTTGGTTTCCGCTTAAGTCGATTCCAATTGATAATATTACCACTGTGAATAAACATAGATTTCGCTTTAGGAAACAACGGGATCTTATCGCTATTTGACATTTTACTGATATTTGGAGTTGAGCCTAAAGTGCTGAGAGTAGACGAGAAATTTGTCGCCACAGTACAGAGTACTTCCTGTTCTGCCTTTAACCATTTTTTTGTTGACATTCTGGTCAATTACACCAATTTGGCAGATCCTACTTTTCAATCAGGGGCATAGATCTGAAAATGATTAGATTATTGCATTTTATTTTTTCTATTTTCATTTATTGCATTTATGAATACCGTTCACTTTTATCGTAGGCAAATAGCAAGAAGAAAATCAACCACTTATTCACTATCACTTATTGTCTACACCGAGAGAGGGCGGGGGTGGGGGGGGGGGGCGTTTTTAATTTTTTTTAGTTAACACTGGAAATGAAACCACAACTATTAGTCAATATAATTTTTTTAATTAATTTTTTTTTATTTAAAAAGTGGGAGTGAAGGCTGGTATGGACAAAAAAGTACATAATTTCAAATAGTAATTGCCAGGCTTGGACTGTAGATTTGAACACCAAAGCTATATCAAAGCGCGTTCTATGTTTTGAATAATCACACTGAATCACGCCGGTAACTTCGGTTGTTGCGCGCCCCATGGCATTTTTTTTTGCCCCACCGTTGGGTCCCCCCCCCCCGCACTTTCACGGGGAGGGGGGTGGGTGGGGGGGGGGGGGTGGCAATCGAGGGTGTTGAGTCTCTCCGGAAATGTTTTGATACGGTCAAAATGCAGGGACGCGCATATCTGAAAATTTAATTTTGCATCATTCTGCACTCAATGGAAAGTAACAGAAGAGAGACAATTTAGGTGGCTCTTGACCTGCTTGTGTTTATACAAGTACTGAAAGTTGTCATCACAGGGGGTGGGGCTTAAAAAAAGGCTACAATATTAATATGATAAATAAATTTTATTGGGGGATGGTTATGTTAAGTTTTTTTTTTAATTGTCAGATTTAGGCTGAATTGAGCTCAATAATTTTTATTTAAACTATTGTTTGATCAAACTACTTCATTAGTAAATTAATCTTTTAAAAAATCATTTAAAAAGGTGGCTATCGCAAAAAAAGAATAGTAATGATTACTCTTCTTCTATATTTCCAATATAGATTTTTTTTAAAAATACAGTTTTGAATAAAAGGTTACATATCTTTAATGTTTTGGCTTATTTATATTAATTGCATATGAATCGCAAAAATTTCACTAATAACTATATTTTTAAAGCGTGATGACATTATACCAGGGGTTGGCAAACTGGGGTTCGCGAGCCGCAATGCGGCTCTTTTGGTGTCAAGATGCGGCTCACCAGTTCCATGCGCAAATATTAATAATTATATTGAAATAAAAATGTTAATGGCTCTTTAAAAACTGGGAAATTTGGTAAATTGTAACTTTTGGCTCTTCCGTTTCAAAAGGTTGCCGACCCCTGCATTATACCATTAACACCCTGCCCTGATTTAAAAGTTGAAACTATTTTGTGAAGGAAAAAGATATTGAAAACATATTGGAATTTTTTCATACTTAGCAAGGTCTAGACTATTTCAGGCCTAGGCCATTATATTTTATATGGATAGAAAAATCATTGAATTCCGTAGTGCTCCAAGTATGTGTAGGCCTATCACTTTTTACCATAATGTAAGTCTTTAAAACTCGGTATGCTGCAAAAATAATAAAATAAAAATACCTTATTAGAAAAAAAAATTCGAAGAACGCCAAGAAGCTTGTGGCTAATAATTAGGAGCTGCCAATATTCGGAACAATACGATATTTAGAATCCGATGATGTATCCAGGTTTGCCTTAAATATTAGAAACATCAAATAATGGTTCCACTATTTAATTAAGTTTCGTAAATTATTTTTGAACTTGATGCAAACAAAAGAACACTCATTTACTTCTTTTTTTTTTTTGAAAGACAAGTTCATTGTTTTTCCTTTAAATTNTCCCACCCCTCCCATAGAGTACTAATATAGGATACCCATGGCCGGTGCTAGAGGTAGGCGAACGGGGTGACCGCTCAAAGCCCCGTGCTTGTGGGTCTCCGCCCTCCGCACGTATCCATAATAATAGTGTATATTAATTAACTAATATTAACTAGGGCTTAACCGGGTGCAGTTGTTGTTTTTTTTTTACACCAGGTACGGGTATTTCGAGACAATACTCGATGGGTCCAAGTGTTGTTGTTTTTTTTTTTTTTAAATAGTTTACTTCTCGTTTTCCACTATGATACTATGCAAAGAAATCTACTGCCTTGTGTGCACTGCCTTCGTCAACCCTCGGTGTCAAGAGATAAGCAGTTGCCAGATCCCGGAATAGAGATGATGTTTTACCAAAACCCGTCGACACAGAAAATACTGTTGTTCAATTTATAAGAAAGGCTAACGAAACAGCAGTCGCAGTATAACGAAAATAGCAATACCTTCATGTACCAGGCTGTGGAAAGGACTCCTGGGCGCGCACATGTCCGAACTGAAAGGACGGCTCATGGCCCAGTTATTGTAGCGTGCGACCCCAGGAAAAAAGATGTGAAAAAGCAGTGGCATTAGAAAAGAATTCCTTTCTTAAGGGGAAAAAGAAATTATCAAATAAGATCTTGAGAGAAATGGTTCCAGGATAAGTACAGTGTCTTCAATAGCTTGTGCCACTGTCAGATTCTTTTACGAAAAATCGTGATCGCGAGTCGCGAACAAAATAATGTTGACAGCGCCGATAACCCTGGCATATGCACAAAGAAGTTTTTCAAAATAAAGGTTGATAAAACTTACCTGAGATCATCCATGTAAGACCCATGCAGTATGACTATGACGTGACAATAAATAATGACCAGTAAAACCTATGCAGTATGACTATGAAGTGATAAGTTATGACCAGTAAGACCCATGTAGTATAACTCTGAAGTGTCCAGTTATGACCAGTGAGACCCATGCAGTCATGGGAGCCCGGAGAAAACTTTCTAGGGGGGGGGGCAAAAAAAATCGATTAACTTTCCGGGGGAGGGGGGGGGCAAAAAATTTGTAGTAATGTTTTAATGTAGTTTTAATTAACTGTAGCGTATTTGTATATTTGTATGGTGAACGAACGGACAGGACATCAGCTTAGATACTTTCTCTTCATTTTCTCTTTACTTTAATACATTTTTTGTCTATTTTGGTCTAAAAATTTTTTATCCAATCAATCTAGGGGGGGGGGGCAAGTGCCCCACCTTGCCCCTACCTGCGGGCGCCCATGCATGCAGTATGACTATGACGTGTTCTATTGGCAGGGGTATATCTCGGCAAAAGTCAGGCCCCGAAAATTTGTATTTTCCCAAGGCACTGCACAACCCTAGCGCCGGTCGTGATACACTATACACTAATACAACTAAACGATTTTAGGCTTAATTTGGGGTAACCATGTGCTAGCAGTTGCAAAACTTTCATTAAGATATGAATACTTACCAAATAATATAAATAGCATATTAACTGTTAAACTGAGTGTGCCAGAAAACTGTATGGCCGTGATTACGGCTTTTGGAGATTATATATGTCATTATTTGTTCCCTGATGTTTTAGACACACACACACAGTTTCGCAAATATTCAATATTAGATAAGAGTATAAAATAATTCTAAAAATACAAGTGGGCCCATAAATGTAGGCCTATAACTAAAATGAGGAAAATAAGAGCACAAAACTGTGGAGCAACCTAAGAAATCAACTGAAACCAAACCAGTGCTATAAATTAAGAGATTTCATTTACAGGAAATACCTTACATTTCAATGGCGTGCAATGTCTGGAATTCATATTTTTATGGATGCGTGTGACTCATTCACTTAACTTGTGTTCTTCAAGAATTAATAAACCGCATTCAAACAAGAACAACTCACTTGATGTTAAAAACTCGATAGCAATAACGATTTGACAATGTTTTTGAATTTAATGGCACATAATGTTTTAATTCATTACAACTTCTCCATTAATGCCAGAAATAAAATAAATAATTTATTTGCTGCCATTATGACACTGGAATTTGAGTCTCATAATAACATAGATTTTAATGCCCTCGAAATTTTTTCAAAGATTTTATGTTTTATTATTTTATTCTGGGGCTGAGAGCAAAAATTGAGCTCGGTTGGGGGGGGGGGG